GTTATAACGGGAGCAGTTGAAGGTCTGTCACGTGATCCTGTGCAAGTGAGGAAGAGATGGAAGATCGAATTAGAAGGATTCAAGGTTATCTTTGTAGTTGCGTCTGAGCTTAAAACTGATGTATAGATTTTAGTTTATGTTCGGGATGTTATGTATTTTTTACACCATTAAAGTTTTGAAAATTATTTTTTTAGGTGAATTTTTGGGATGTTACACTCAATAGTGATAATCATTCACTAAATATTCAACCAAGAGCCGAGGTTCTTCAAATCACACGCCTAACACCGATCGGCCAACAGTAGGAGTTTAGAGACGAGCAAGCAGCCCAGACACGTTAGCAGGTTAGTCTCTCGGTCCCAAAAATATCTACTAAAACATATATGAATTGAAGTAACTCGTTTTAAGAAAAAAAAAATGAGCTGCTATGTATACTGTATATAAATAATTATATAAGAGATTTAGTGTATATATATATATATATATATATATATATATAAACGTGCTCAATCACGAAGTCATACATATTCTCAATAATATGTATAACTAGAAATAACGTGCTCAATCACGAAGTCATACATATTCTCAATAATATGTATAACTAGAAATAACGTGCTCAATCACGAAGTCATACATATTCTCAATAATATGTATAACTAAACCAATATTGGATCAAGGAAAATAACTAACAATTCTCAATAATTGCTTCAAAATACTTCCACGGATTCATGCATTATTACCGAATGCTATTTCCAACTCTGATGCTGTCTGAACGAACGTTCTAAAATCAATCCTCATAAAAGGGAACGCTGCCGATGAACACCAAACCTAACCGAGCTCTAAGGACGAACGCTCACAGACCAAGGACGAACGTTCACAAATTCAAGGACGAACGTTCACCAATTAAAGAACGAACGTTCACAAATTAAAGGACCAACGTTCACGAAATACGGACGAGCGCTCCCAAAACCAAGGACGAACGCTCACCAAAACCAAGGACGAACGTCCAAGATCCACATCGAACACTTATAACCGAACGCTCTCTGATATCCAAAAACCGAACGCTGACTTACACTCCAAAACCGAACGCTCACTTATACTCCAAAACCGAACGCTCACTTATACTCCAAAACCGGACGCTAATAATTACCACAATACCAAGGCCGAACGCTCAACTACCGAGCCGAACGCAAAGTCAATCACTTAGGCCGAACGCTAAACCCTTGGACGCTATCCTGAATTCATCACTGCTTGGACGAGCGCTTAAAGATCGAAATCCTTAAAGAACGGACGTTCGTTAACCCATAGAATGACCGAACGCTCATTACAACCTATGGACGTACGTCTTGAGACCAAAGCCGAACGTTCCAGAACGTCCCACGAAAATACTAAGTCACGGATGAACGCTCATTAACGCACTGCTTACATACGACTTGGACGAGCGTCCCATATATACAACGAACGAACGCGGACGTTCGTTCAGAACCGAACGCTCACCACTGAGCAATTTGGACGAACGTCCAATTCCACCAGAATTTTACGAACGTTCGGAAGTTGGCCGACCACTAATTGGTCGAGCACTGTTGGGACGAACGTCCAATTTTGACTCCCCAAAATTGGACGTACGCTCATTCTGCAGAATTCTGCAGAATTACGCAGGTTCCAGAGAAAACCCAGAAACCCCTTTCTTCATCCCCTTCTTCCCAAATCCTACCCAGATTGCAGCAAATACAAAATATCTTAAAAATCAAGGAAATAAATCAACTCCCCTTACCTCTTGAAGACTTCCTTGCAAATTTTGAGATCTATCTCCTCCCAAACGTGCAGCTCAAGATCTTCCAGGAACTTCAGCAGCTCTTCACTTCCTCTTCCAGCTCTTGGTGCAAGAACTTCATCCTCACCAGGTGCCCAACTCAGATCCTCCTCTAAGCCCCTTCTAAGGTTGGAACAGCTTCCCATGGGTGCTCCTTGGATGGCTGAAAACGGGAGAAGGGTTCCCCTCCCTCTGGCTGCTCACACTCTCTCTCCCTCTCCTGCCAAAAATGCCTCCCCCACTTTGTGCAAAGCTTCCCGTAATAATGCACCAACAATAATTGCCTTATGATAGTCAAAGGTGGGTGACCACCATGCCCCACTATGTCCCCCACCATAAAAGTTACGGGTCTTACATTGAGTATTTGAGAGTAGCTTAGAGTGAATAATGCGTAAGTGGAACATACATGCCTTTCGGCCCTGATTTTATATTTATAATTTACGTCATGGATCCTAAGCTGATATAAGCCCAATAAAATATAAACAGAATAAGATATAAACAGATTATCTGAAAATCCGGTTGGTTGTTTGTAACCAGTCGGTCAATATTTCATAAGATACATCAATATAAGTTTAGCTTTTTCACATATATTTTACATAATTATGTGGCTCTGATCATATAATTGAACATGTTACAAAAGGAAATGGTACGATAGAGAAAGAGAAGAAACGTTACTCTCTTTTTTCAATCTCCAAATATTTATTTTATAATTATAATTTTTTCAATAAATTTAATTTTTTATTTGAGAGCATATATAATCTATTTTCATTTTAAAGATGAATTTCATTTGAAAGTTTTATATTTTAAATAGTATGTTTTGGTTGGATTCTTATATCTGGTTTTAGAAAAAAAATACTGAAATTATGTTCGATATTTAATGATTTTAAATAAAAATTCCGTAGCAATATTAATAAAAATTTCAAATAAACTTTTGAATAACAAATTTTCTTTTCTCCACAAATAAGATGTGGACAGTGTCTGGTTTAGCTTCCCATCTTTTATTATTATTATTATTATTATTATTATTATTATTATTATTATTATTATTATTATTATTATTATTATTGTTGTTGTTATTATTATTATTATTTTCTTTATATTTTAAACTCATTTATGTCTGCAGATTGATTGTGAAAAATTAGAGTGTGATTCTAGATAATTTGTGTGATAAACATTTCTTCTTTTTTTGCATTTGTCAAATTATAAATGCATATAAATTGCTATGATTTTTAAAATCCAGAACAATTCACACGTACACAGAAAAAAAAAATAAGTAAAATTTTTGAAAGTTAAATTATATATATAAATTTAATATTGACACATAAACAACTTCAGAAAACACAAACAAGGAGTTCAAGAAATTGATTTCAGAAAAAGCTCATAGATATGTTCACAATCTATCTTTCCTGATATTTGTCCCATGGACTTATTCTTGCAATAAAAAGAAACATGGGAAACTGATCAGACATTTTTATAACAGTGGGATGAAGAAACCAAAGCATCAAGAGTACATAAATAGCATGACCAACAAAATCATAATCGTACATATTCATCATGAAGGAGGGCAATCCCTTTGTTGGTACGAACGACAATAAGGACCCTTACCCTGCTTTGGTAGTCTTAATTGCGTACAGTAACGATAACCATCCTTCTGTGTACAACGGATGACTGGCTTACTTTCCTCCAAAGCATTGGGAACGGTATTAACACTGTCCCCAGCAAGCATTCTGGCGGTGACGGTGGGAAATTGTGAGTCCAATTGATGGAGAATGGGGCAGTCTTGTAGGGAGCCATCACACAGAGACATGGTCTCATTGGAGTTGGACAGAGCTGCAATGTTAAGATGTGCATGCAGCGTAATCACCACAACCCATATCAAGAAACGGGTTGCTGATCGCTTCTTCATGCTTCTCCTCACTTCTACACTGTAATGGACATCCAATATCTACCCCTTAATATATATACACATGGTAGTCCCACTATTACAGCTGCACTTCATTATGGTGGCTGTTGCAAATATAAACCTAACTTTCTCCCTCGTTAATTCTTCTTTCCCATGTGCAGTGGGGCATAAGAACATTCTTAGGACAGTCTTTTTGGAATCAGGATCAGCTGTTCAGTTCAGTTTTCAATAGCGCGAATCTTAATTCACAAATCAGGCTATTCATCCATCTTTTCTTAATACCCTCCACCATGATTCCTAATTCAATTCCACTCATAACACACAAAAACATTCTTAATTTGTTAACAAGTTATCTTAGAAATACATTTTTATATTTATTTGATATAAAGATAAAATAGTTATAAAAGAATAAATTTTTATAATTTTTTAATAAAAAAGATAAAAAAATTTGTTAAATAAATATAAAAAATTGTGTGTATCAAAATATCATTTTATTTCGTTTAAATCATTATCGATTGAAAAAATTAACAACAGAGATGTTCTATAAATTATCATGGGATACTTTGTTCTCTTAATCACAATTGAAATTATTCATAATTTTATACATTAAAGATATTTACTTATTATAAATTCAATTAGAGCATAATTCTCTTTATATATAAAAGAGTAACATCTTATTACATTCGATCTATTTAATAAATTTATAAAAAAATATTTTAAAAAAAATTTGTATATATTCATTATACATATATACTTATCGATTCTTTTTAAGTAATACGAAATAATTTCTTATAAAGTGAAACTATAAAAGTAGTTACAGAACAATATGTTTTAAAACTCATAAGATAATTCAAAATATTTTTGAATGTTAATACAAAAATAAAAATAATTAAAATGACTAGTGATGTTAATTTTTTAAAACAGAAAGTGTTACATGTTTCCTGTTTCAATTTTTAAAACAAAAAATTGTTAATACACCTATATATATATATATATATATATATATATATATATATATATATATATATATTATTTTATCTTATCGTACGATTTAATAAATTTATTGTTTTTATTCTGTCTATATCAACATTAAATACTGGTAAACTTTTTTCTACGTACATAAATATGTTTCTTTTAAGATATTGGATGTTAAACAAAAAATCACTCAGATATTTTTGGCGAAGCTGAAATTTCCACCAATGATAATAATAAATACAGCGAGCGGTGGCACCCCGTGCATTTATGCCTCACATGTTTTCGTGAAACAAATACAGAAATCTGATTAATAAAAGTTTATCAATGGTCTGTGTATAACTAGTGTGTCCAGCTTTGCTTACAGTTTATCAATGGGCACAACTTACACACCAATTGCTTTGGGCACGATCCTATTCTTCCTCCTCTGGTTGTGCCACCCTTATTTTTCCATAGCAGACGTTATCTACCGTCCGGTTGACCATTTCACCGTAAACTGTGGCTCCACTATAAACTTCACTCTCGATGGTCGGAACTGGACTGGAGATAGCAATACGAAATTCCTCTCCGAAAGTAAGGACTCAGTTGCTGTTCCAGCAGACACACAATCAACAATACAGGGCCCTTACACTTATGCTCGTCTCTCTCACTCCCAATTCACCTACTCCTTCCCTGTCACCACACAAGGCCCCTTCTTTCTTCGTCTCTTCTTCTACTCAACTTCATACCAAATGTTTGACCGCCCCAAAGCCAATTTCTCAGTCCAAGCAAGCTCATACACGCTCCTTCAACATTTCAATCCTTCCCTATTTGCTGAAGCTGATGACGACCCAACCCACTCTGACATCTTGTTCAGAGAGTACTGCATCTACCTCCAACATGGTCAGAGGCTCAACATAACCTTCACTCCAAGTACCACAGAGTCGTACGCTTTCATAAATGGAGTCGAGATTGTTTCGATGCCCTCTTATTTATACTACTCCAACCCTAATTACACTGTTTCTGACGACTTCACTGGATTGCCACAACTTGTTGGTCACATGACTAAAGAATATTTCATTACAAATAAGTCTGCTCTAGAGACAAAGTACCGGTTGAACGTTGGAGGACCACAAATCTCACCGTCAGAAGACACTGGCATGTTCAGGATCTGGGATTCGGATGAGAAATACATATCTACTGATAGTGGACAATCAGTTGATTTTAAGCAAAAAGCTAATCTCAGCTTCAATAAGACTCCTAACTACACGGCACCGGACCAAGTATATCGCACCGTAAGGAATATTGGATCGAATCCATTTAAGAACCTCACATGGCACCTTCCTGTTTATTCTGGCTTCTTCTACTTGCTAAGGTTACACTTTTGTCAGCTTAACCCGTATTTTAAAGAGCGCGGTGATCAAATATTCTACATCTTCATTCAGGATCAGTTGTCTGAAACAGGGGCAGACATTCTCAAGTGGAGCGACAAGATGGGTGTACCAGTGGTTAAAGACTACGCAGTTTACATTCCGGGAAATAAGGAAAAGGCATATCTTTCACTGGAAATGCATCCAAATAACATATCCGTATATCAGGATGCACAACTGAATGCAATTGAAGTCTTCAAAATCAACGACACAACAGGTAGTCTCGCTGAATCGAACCCAGACCCTCTTCCACAAACCCCCAATAAGAAAATCTCAAAGAAGAAAAATAGCGGCACCAGAAGACCCCTAATTGCCGCGGTCGCAGGTGCAGTTTCCGGTGTCGTTTTACTCTCCATTATAGTGGCTTTCTTCATCAACAAACGCAAGCAGAACGTTTCCGTTTACAAATACCAGAAAGATGGAACTTCTCGCGGGGGTGGTTCATCATCGCTACCAACCAACCTCTGCCGTCACTTCTCAATCGCAGAAATCAGGACCGCCACAAACAACTTCGATAAACTCTTTGTCGTTGGAGTGGGAGGCTTTGGCGACGTGTACAAAGGCTATATCGATGACGGCCAAACACCTGTCGCTATCAAAAGGCTCAAACCGGGTTCTGAGCAAGGTCTGAACGAGTTCATGAATGAGATCCAAATGCTCTCTCAACTTCGTCATCTCCATCTTGTTTCCCTCATCGGTTACTGTTACGAGAGCAACGAGATGATCCTCGTTTACGATTTCATGGATCGTGGAACCCTCCGTGATCATCTCTACGGATCCGATAAGCCTCCGCTTTCATGGAATCAAAGGCTTCGGATATGCATAGGGGCCGCGCGAGGACTGCATTATCTGCATACAGGTGCAAAACAGATGATCATTCACCGTGACGTGAAGAGCACAAACATCTTGTTGGATGAAAAATGGGTGGCGAAGGTTTCAGACTTCGGGTTATCTCGAATTGGGCCCACGGGTTCTTCAATGACCCATGTGAGCACAAAGGTGAAAGGCAGTGTTGGGTATTTGGACCCGGAGTATTACAAACGACAGCGTTTGACGGAGAAGTCGGACGTGTACTCGTATGGGGTGGTGCTCTTGGAGGTATTGTGCGGGAGGCAGCCTTTGCTCCGAACGGCGGAGAAGCAACAGGTGTCACTTGTGGATTGGGCGAAGCATCGGTATGAGAAGGGGTTTCTGAGTGAGATTGTGGATCCAGCACTGAAGGGCCAGATAGCACCTCACTGTTTGCGCAAATTTGGTGAGGTTGCGTTGAGCTGTTTGCTTGAGGATGGGAATCAGCGACCTTCCATGAACGTCGTGGTTGGAGTGTTGGAGTTTGTTATGCAACTTCAGCTTCAGGACGGTGCGAATGTCAATGTCGTGTTGGAAAGTGGTGGGGATTATGAAGACAGTACTACTGAGGACATGTTTAGCGGTAGCCATAGTAGTATGCATGTTTCGAACTTCAGTAATAGCAGTGGATTGAACTCTACAAGCTACGCGAGTCAGGAATCTGACAGGTTGATCTCAGAGCTTGTTTTCTCTGAGATTAATGATCCAAAGGGACGCTAATTAATCCACTTCAATATGCTGTTACTAGTATTTAATGAAGATTATTACTTTTTTATTCAAAATATTTAGTGGTATTAACTCTTTATATGCATAATTGTCGTAGCACTATTTTATACTTGTAATTTTACACTCTTAATATGGATAATTGTCATAGCACTGTTATATAGTTATTTTTAGACTCTTTTAATGTGTAATTTTCATAGCGCTATATGTAGTTATTTTTAGTCTATATTCAAATTCTCTTTCTTCTAAATTTTATTTTGTAAAATGTTACACCTTGGAATATCACCAATAAAGTGTAAATAGATTCTTCCAAAATCATACTGCTGAGGAAAAGACCTAGATGATAATGTTACTTAAAGTAATCACATTTAAGTTCAGATAAACTAAACAATCTTAGAGTAGGTCCAAGCAAGGAAACAATAGGTCTTATATGAATATCTCATCCTTTTGTAAGAAGACATGCTACCCTTCCAACAGCTTTTAGATTCTTGTAACAAAAAGAATCACAAATACTTCAACATCCATTATAGCACAATTTATAACATGTTTTTATTTGAAGGAGAAAATTATAATTTTTATGGTTATCAACTTATTTTACATTTTTGGATGCATAAGAATTTATACAAGTAGAGTACACTAATCAAGTCACTACTTACTACATTTGCACAACATGCAACGTTGAAAGAAAAGAAAATCAAATGTTGAAATTCTCGGAATGATTTAAAGAAAGTTTCACTAGTTATATATCTAAGGATCATGAGAGCAAAAACAACTAAGCATGTGATACTCTTCAACAAGAGTTTAAATTCAAATGTGACTACGGTCAAACTTCAATATCTCAAGAGAGAGTTTGAGAATAAAAAAAATGAAAGAAAGAGAAAGTTTGAATTAATACTTCAATTTTTTATTGTTTGAATCGGTGACTCAAAATGAATCGGATGGATGGGGCTGGGCATAATTAATTTAAATACCCTAAACTTTAGTTTATCTCATATATGATATGGAGATACAACTGATTATTGAAGAATTGTGGATAAAATTCCCATTAATTTATCCTATGGTGGTTTTAGAAATTAAGGACTTGTTCATCATAATCTCAATTAAGATAGACTCATATGACTTTAAATATTAAGATAATCAATTTAAGTAAAATATTTGTCACTGACTGTTTCACATAATGCATCATTTTAGTAGAATCCATATAAACATTAAGTTTGTTTGTATTAAGTACAAAAAATCATTTATATATATATATATATATATATATATATATATATATATATATATATATATATATATATATATATATATATATATATATATATATATATATATATATATATATATATATATATATATATATATATATATATATATATATATATATATATATATATATAAATTGAATAACTTTGTACTTCACTTGAATATTTCTATGTTATCAAAATACTAATTACTTTTATCTTATAATTTTTCTCTCAATATTAATCAATTTTATATAAAATTTAAGTCTCACATCGACCAATTTTTAATTTATAAATAGGTGTAAATCTCTTCTATTAGTTGATTTTCTAGAATTGAGTTAGGTTTAAAATCTATATATAGAGTTAATCTGAATATCTATGAATAGTTAATTTATAATAAATTATAATTTATTTTTGTGAATTCATATATTATCACATTATTTTTAAGACTTTCTTAAAATTTTATTTTAATGTAGAAATTTGATAAGATTCAAGGTTTATTAATTTTTTTATATTTATAAATAAGATAAACACACACGTTATATATATATTACTCTTTTTTATGAATATGTTATTATTTAATAAAATAAGAAAAAAAGTTTTCTCTTACTGATAATTTAAATATAGTCCGTTAAGAAAATTAATTTAAAAATTCAATTTCAAAAAAATGATCCATCTTTATTAACAGTTTAAAAGAATCACTTTCAACCAGAAACTTTTACTTTTACATAATTATATATTATTAATATATTCTACTTATACTTTTACATAAATTCCGTCTATTGATAATTTTATTTCAAAATAGGTACATGCTTTTCATTATTTTTAAATGTAATAGTCTTTTATATTTTAAATAGTTGTAATTCAGATTATAAGTTCACGTAAATCACATAAATATTACTACAAAATAAATTTAGTTTTTAAATATCAATGTCCATCAAATTACAATACTATTGGATAATTAAACTGACATAAATATGAGGAATTTTTTAAATTAAAAAATGTACAATTATTTTTTAAGTATTTTTAATAAATAAATATTTATGCTAGTAAACATATTAGTGTTTGCTCAGCTAACTCTAATTTAATTTTTTAAAATAAAAAAGACAAAAAAAATTAATATTACTATTTAATTTTTTATTAAATAAATATTTGTTTGTGTCAGTTTAATAACATTAACTAAAAACTAATACTACAAATAAATAAAGTTAATGTTCACTTAATACACAAACCTTATTTAGGTTTATCATCTTTATTTAAATTATAGTCACTTAAGGCCAAATGTTAATAAAATTATTAAAAATAAATAATTTATCAGTAGATCATAATTAAAATAAATAGTTAAAATAAATAAAATCGATATATTTTAAAGTGATGCTAATCTTAAATTTTTAATATTTATATTTTAGGTAAGTAAATGTTAGTTTAATGATTCTAAGTTATATATTTTAAGTTTTATATTTTGAATTTCCATGCATTATTGAAATGAATATAAATTATAAATTATTTTTAATTTAAAGATTTAAACTCAAAATTGATAAATTCCTTTATTCATAATTTTATGTTTCACTTTCTTTATAATTTTAGTAACATTTATTTTCTTGATTCACGTTCATAAATCACCTCGAATTTAACTTTTTACTCGTATCATACTCATGTTTTATATCAATATTCATCTTTTTTATCTACATTTTTTTTTCTGATCTCCTTCATCCACATTTATTTTCTTCATATACATTTTTATTTTTTATCTACACTCATCTCCTTCATCTATTATAATTTTTTATTCTAATTTTTTTCATTTATATAATTTAAAGATGAAAGTACTATACGATTTTTTTGAGTATCATTCTGCCAAACTGATGCAAATTGGAATAATATTAAAAATATATTTTATTTAACATTCGTTAAACCAATATTAAATTGAATAAATTTCAAAATAAAAAAAATATTAATATCGGTCAAGCTCACGATAAACTATTTCAATTAAAAACATAATTTAAAAATTGGAAAATAATTAAATTGGTTAAGACCACACTAGTTAGACTCAATCTTCAAAAACCCTACTTAACAAATTAGTATCAACGATTTTATAGTTAGGAACATATACATGTGCAATACAAATTCATTACTAGCAACTAATTGACATCGACTTGTATTTGTTACTGTCGGTTTTTGGTTTACAATAAATATCTGTTTTAATGTACATGTTAATGAAAAATAAAATACTTACGGGTTATAATTAACTTAAACCTTCCTCTCTACTACTTATAGTTTCGTCAATGTGTATTTTGATGTCTATAAGAATTTAATATATATATATATATCATCTAATTATTAAAAGATAACATATTCTTGTAATAAAAATGTAAAGTTTATAATAAAAAATTATTAATAATATTGTACAAAGCAAGTAATTACTTGTTTTTGACTAATGTTTTACTAAAAGATCAAAATTGTTTAATTTCAGAAAACCGAAACATGTATGATATTTAATATTTGTAAAAGTAAAAAAGTAATACAAAATTATAGAAAGTAAAAATTAGATTGAAAATTTTATATTTTTAGTTAATCGACAAATCGTTGAGCAAGTTATGCAATGATATATTCATTAAGTAGACGAAATATTTGTGGCTAGAAACCATAGTTGCTAACAATATATGCACTTTTCTATATATCCTTCTGGCATTGAAAGAAGATGATGAAAGCTTAATTATGAGTGCTATAAGTGAGAGAACGTTGAAGTTGAAAGAAAATGAGTAAGGAAGCATTCCATTACGTCCAAATAAATGTTTCTAATAATTTAATCTAAGTCTTATTACAAGTTGAAAGAAATAAGTGTTTGTGATTTAAGTTTCTAGAACTAGTTAAATTTAGTGTTCCCACTTGAAATTTAACTTTTTTTAACGAAACATTTAATGATCTGAAATCTTTGATTTATTAATAAATAAGGTGAGGTGTGAAAAATAAGGAAGAAAATAACGTTTTAATAACTACAAATGAATTATTAAGTTTAATATTTACAACTAAAATAGTCTTTAAGTAATTATTTAAAGAAAAGTAAGTACCAGTGAAAAATCACTTTTTATATATTTCAATCAAATTGAATAAATTAAAAGTTATTTCTCTTTAAGTTATATAAACGTGAATTATTTATCTAAAGCAAATAAAGAGTATAAATTTTATATAATTAACTAAAAATATATAGTTATTAAGATTTCAATACTTTGTTGTAATTTATCACATATAATTATCTATTCTATAACTTTTAATTTTAGAAAATATAAAAGCATGGATGTGATAATCAAAATGTTGCAATTTTAATTTATATATATAATTTTTAGTCTACAACTGTAATAACAAAATTTAAATATTTACAAGTTTTGTATTTAGAAGGGGTGTATGATAAAGGAATTGACACCGTTATTAAACTGTGGATCACTGATTAATTCCATAGATTGTATATATAAAAAGATTGAAAAATATGCAACTATCAAAAATGGATTGATCTCTAATTTAAATGTAAATTATATTGTTATTATAAATTAATATTACAAAAAACAATAAGGGGTTGGAAAATATAAATATTATAAAAATTATATATTTACTATATTTTGCAGGTAAATATCAATGCAGCTGTTGTTTGGTGATTATCATACATAAAATATTTAAAAAAATTGATTTTAGTCGTTTTTTAAAAATTTGTTTTTATATTTTTAAATTGATGTATTCAATCCTCTCTTTTTTTAATATATTATTTTAGTTCTGTATATTTAAATTTAATATCTAATGAATTTTTTTGACTGTGACAAGATTTACAGAAAGATTGTTGAATGAAGTGAGAGTTTTAAACCTTATAAACCAAAAGATATTTTTTTTAGTTAAACCAGATTGAAATCCTTAAACTGAAGAAAGCGATCCACCGTAGGCACAGTTTTAGCGTTGTTTTCAAATGTTTATCTTCAACGGAGATGTTCCGCAAAACTAATGGTCCATTGTTTCCCACAATTATTAGCCTTTCATGGTCATCATAACTACCCTAATCAATTGCATGTGGACTTAATCTTATATGGGACATTTCATATATGGAATAATATCCAATATTTTATCTGTATTAGAAAAAATGAAATATTTGAGAAAATAATAATAAGAAAAGTGAGTCGTTAATCTCTGTAATGAAGGTATTTTTGTGTGTTTGTATGAGGATATCAAAAGATCTTAAATTGTCAACATTTGTTTTCTGTTAAAGTATACAATATAAAAATAGTGTACATAAAACAACGTATTCAATTATGTTAACTGTTTTTTGTTTGCTGTGGTTGATATTTTCAGACATATTAAACAACTTTGTTTGTAAGTATTCTTTTTGTAGTACGCACTTCTTTTAGATATCTCTACCTTTTGTGGCCTGTATTTTTAGCATTTTTATTGTATCTAAAGCTGTTATTCTAATTATTATGTACTCTAGTTTAGATTTCAAAGAAAAATAAATTATTGCTTGAGCCTAGTGGAAATAAAGTCGATTAGTTGGTCATCTATTGTTGATAGCGAGTTCCAATATTCTAGAGTGTAGTGTGTTGATAGCGCAGAGCGGGTTGAGAGTGGAAGAAACAAACAAAAAAGATTCAAATTATGCCTAAACGCCGTACTAATTGACCATTTAATATATACCAGATGAATGAAGAGATAGGGAAGAAAACTCATATGGACTATTCTACAACACGTTTTTATCTTCTTTTTCAAAGGGGAAACGCGTAAATGAAACCAAAACAGGACAACCTTAGCTATAATGTTTGAAGAGGGCTAGATAGATGAATGCTTCTGGGCAAGTGCCTAGACTAGTAATTAATTAAAGACTTCACTAGTGCAGTTAGGGGAAACGACAACGTTTATTTTCGTCAATAGACAGCGGTTCTTGAATCGAGGCATATCTAGACGAGATAAAAAGTCTACAACTTTTTGCTTCGATTTTGAACCGAGACATAAAAGGGTAGGATACTGTCTCAGTTCAAAGTTAACCGAAGCAGTAGATTTTTTAATTTTTTTTCGCAGGACTTTATACCACGGTTCAGAGGAAACCAAGAAGTATGTGTAACACCCCTAACGGAGTGCCACTAGAAAATAACAAAATCTAAAATTTACGCCAATTTTTTTTTCATTTAAAAATCAACATCACGGAAACAAAACCTCAAAGGTTTAAGCGTCTTACAACAAAAAGTTCAAACCTTACAAATGTCAAATCCATTAATCAAAAACATAAAAATAACTTTAAAACATGATAAATTTCTCCATAGTTATTCCCATAAAACTTTAAGCGTCTTACAAAACTTCTTCTTCTTCTTGTTTCATGCATTCTCATGATGTTTGGCTTGCAAGGCTCCTTCAATGACACCTTCTTGTCCCATGGCTCTTCTTTGCTCATGTGCATGCAAGGCATTGAAAAGCTCTACAAGAGTGATCTGATTAAGATCCTTGGTATTTTCCAAGACTGAAATAGATGCCTCAAATTTTTCACTGTTAGAAGAATTCTTTTCAATAACTCTGGAGTCTGTGAATGCAGAACCAAGCAATCTGATTTGGTTTGCAATGTCCAATAACCCATTAGAATACTCTTTAAATTGATTTTGTTTCCTTCATCTTCTACAGCTCGAATTCTCGAACCAAGTTCAGCACAAACATTCCTTTGATTCTTGCATTTCCTTCATACTTTGTCTTGAGATAATTCCATATCTCATACGGCGACTTCAGAGTCATAATTCGAGTGAATATATAAGATGAGACTAAAGCGAACAAACAAGTCTTTGCTTTGGATTTCTTGGTCTTTTTCTCCTTGTGCCATTTGATTTGCACCATAGTAGGATATTCTCGGAGGGTAGGAATTTCATAAATTTTTTCAATTGCTTCCCAAATATCCACGTCTTCATATATGCCTCTATACAAACTACCCAAACTTGGTAGTTTTCACCATCAAACACCGATGGAGAAATTGAAGACAGATTGGGACTTGCTTCAACGTCCATGACAAAGACTCACATACCCCTTAAGAATAAGGCTCTTAATACCAATTATTAATTTTTAGAAGCAAAACAATAGCTATTGAAGCCAACAAAACGTATGACTTATAAATAGAAAACATTGCAATATTTAAAACTTAAAAAAGTAACTACCCACAATCCTAATTTTAATCCACCACACATAATAAACAAAATAACTAAATCCTAAAAATTAGAACAGTGACTCATTTAAATTAATAATAAAACACTCTTAAAGCATTTTTTTTAACAAACACGACTTTCTTTATATAAAGTCGTATTTACAAAGCACATTAACTAATTCCTGCAAATTGTTTTCAATTATGGAACCTTCGAGGTGAAGTTCCAGCAGAATGGTAACAAATCCAAGATTTTGTCAGTTAGAATAAGACAATGCTTTCATTTATAGGTACTATTGGCTACATCGCTATGGAGCAATTTGTGAACCTGACCATCACAGATAAAACCGATGTTTATTCATTTGGTATGGTTCTATTCGAAGTTGTGAGTGGAAAGAAATATATGAGTTTGATTACAGAAGAGGAATTTCCGATTGAAGAGAAAGTTGATCCGAAAATCAAAGGAAAGATTGCACCTGAGTCTTGGCAAGTCTTCATAGATATCATGCAAGAATGCTTGAAATACGAAGTAGATGAGCGACCAACAATGGGTGAGGTAGAGGTGCAACTTGAGCATGCTCTGTCGTTGCAGGAACAAGCAGATATCACAAACATCCATGGTGATTATGTTTTATTGTCTGAAACCTTTATTATTTTCCCAAAGCCTGAGTTAGAAGATGAAGATATCGCTATAACAGAAGACAGTGACTCAGAAGACATGTTTCATAGGTAATTTTGTGAGCTCAAATAAAGGCTTTTAGCTTTTCCAGACAAACAAAGAAGTTATCGTATACTTTTGCAATAGTTCAGTTCATTTATGATATCTCTAGCTTTTGTACCAATCCTTGTTCAAGCATTTTGATGAATGCTGAAGTATATAAATATGGAGAGTGAAGAAATTATTGTTGGTTTTTACTTCTCGTGTTTATTCTCAACCCAACTTCTATAAAATATTTGTTGGGAATATAACAGTGAGTCTAAGTCTTATAGACGAAAAAGTAGAGCACCTTATAAAGGTGGAAGACCCATTAATCCATTGTCTTAAAGTTTTGGATAAAGAGTGGTATCAATCCCTTATATAGTTGACTCTAATGTTATTAATATTGGTGTTTGTGTAATTAACAGGAAACCTTCTCCTCGATAGATCCAACAGTGACATCTTCACAATTTTGTTTTTCAGAATACGTACCTGCTTTTCATGATTTTTTTAAATCCAATATGTTTTTTATATTTTTTAGTATTTGTATTTCAGATTATAAATTTACATAAACTACGCAAATACTTGTTAATAAAAAGTAAAACACTTACTAGCTATAATTAACTTTAAATATTTCTTCTACTTCACATAGCTTCGTCAATGGGTAATTTTGGTTTCTATAAAAAGTTAATATGGTCCCTAAGCGTTTAAATTAAACAATTTTAGTCCAATATAATATATCATCTAATTTCTAGAAAAATCTAATATACTTTTAGTAAAAATGTAAAGTTTATAATTAAATACGTACTATTAAAAAATTCTAGAAAACAAGTAATTAATTTTTTGGTGGTGAATGCTTTACTAAAAGATCAACATTGTTTAATTTCAGAAAACTGAAACATGAAATATGATATTCAATATAATATTTGTGAAAACAACAAATTACAAAATTATAAAAAAAATATATATTTATTGTCAAAAAGTCAATGACCAAGTCATACAATTATCTATTTATTAAGGAGATGAAATATTCTTCAAATTTGCTAACAAGGAACAGTCTCAAATCAATGAAGGGAAAAGATTTAGGTGTGTTAAATAATCATTCTTCAATTTAATAATGTACAATTACCGTGAGAAACACGATATATAAGCACTTGAAAGAGTTGAAAGACAGATAACTCCAAAAGAAATTAGAAACAAGGATGTTTCTCAAATGTTGGGGCTTCTGCCATTCGAAGCACACAAGTTCATGTCAGTATACGACAATAATAGAAGAGCTGTGCCATCGGTTCTCTCTCGCCGATATTAGGAAATCAACCGACAACTTTGATCATAAGAGGCTAATTGGGTATGGAGGATTTGATATCGGAGTATATAAAGGTTGTCTTCAGCATGATGGTTCTGATTATACAGTCACTATAAAGCGATTTAAGGCGGATGGACCTCAAAGATGGAACCTGTTCAAGAATGAAATAGAATTGCTCTGCCAGCTTCGTGACCCTAATTGTATCACACTTATTGGATTTTGCAGCCACAAGAAAGAGAAGATTCTGGTGTACGAATACATGTCCAATGGATCTCTGCATCGGCACCTACAACATGGGGATCTGTCATGGAAAAAGAGACTAGAGATTTGCATAGGAGCGGCTCGTGGATTACACTACCTTCATTCTGGAGCCAAGCGCACCATCATTCACTGTGACTTCAGTTCTAAAAGTATTCTTTTAAATGATGACATGGAGCCAAAACTCGCAGATTTCAGCTTTTGCCGACAAGGAGCACCTTCTCTGTCAAAGCCAAAACCAATTAAAGTAGATTGTGTTACGAGTAAATTTTATATTTTGAGCTTACACACCGCAATGATTTTTTGTTAGTTAAACTTGGGTTTTCAATCACAAAAGAAAACCAGAGAAAAAGAGAAGAAGAAACTCTGTTTATTAAACAGTAGTACAAATTAAACAGATTAAGATCACGTATCAACCAACCAACCAACCATCCAGGGTACATAGGGCGTTAAACAGTGATCTATATATACCAAGAAACCGTTAAGATGCTAGATGCTTTTTAGAAGTGTAAGATTTTGTAGACGTTCTAATGTTAGGCGCACTTTAGTCACAAACACTAAGAAAATCTAGTCTTACTATGAGTACATGCACTTTAGTAGACAGTTTTCCACGCTTTTATCAGAAGATATGATTTAGAGTTCATCTTCACAAAACTAAAGTAATACTTTCACCAATAGGTACTTCATGTTTCATCGCTCAGGAGTATTCCCGGGACGGTACAATCACGGACAAATGTGATGTTTACTCGTTTGGTTGGGTTCTAAAAGAAGTTGTGTTTGGAACGGGATACCTTATAGAAGAAGTGCCTGGTAGGCCGGTTGAGGATATAATTGATAAAAATATCAAAAGGAATATTGCACCTGAGTGTTGGAGAGTTATTGTAGATATCATACAAAGATGTGTGCAGTATAATCCTCATGAGAGACCAACAATGGGTGAAGTGGAGCTGGAACTTGAGCATGCTCTGTCATTGCAAGAACGAGCAGATATTGCAAACACCAATGGTGACTATACTTTGTTCTCCAAAACCATTATTAAGACTTGTAATGGGGAAGAAGACAGTGTTTAAGCTTCGTTAGTTACAATGAGCGAGTGCTATCCCACATTCTTGCCTAAGAAGGAAAGTCAGGGCACAAAATGAGAGCTTTGAACAGTGGTTAGAATCTCAGAAGAAACAAACAAAATATACATATAACTTTTTTTAAAAACGTTATGTGGAATTTTTCGTTATTAGTTAAAGTTTTGAAAGATAATTGTTAGTTTTAAATAAATCCTCTCAAGAAATTGAAAAACTTGGTTATTTCTCTAAAATAAATTGTGCCCATAATAGTAGAAGTCTCTGTATGTGGTTGAAGAACGCTGGTTTTACGATGAAAGTGAGCGAGGATTTGAATTCACCAAAACTAGGTAGGACTATTTCGTAGAAAGTATGAAAGAATGTATCTCAAGTTTCCAGAAAAATATTTAGACTCAATCTTCAAAAACCTACTTAACAAAATTGTTTTTGGTTTTTGGATTACAATAAATATCTGTTTTATAATGTACATGTTAATGAAAAATAAAATACTTAGTTGTAATTAACTTAAACCCTCCTCTCTACTACTCATAGTTTCGTCGATGTGTATTTTGATGTCTATAAAAATTTAATATGGTCTTTAATTATTTAAAATTAACCAATTACTAGTAAAAAATCAGCATTTAAACTCGCACAATAGATCTTGGTTTAGAAGAAACTAAAGCCTATCAGAATGCGGTGACATTTTTGTAGTTTAGTCGAACTTATATGCCTCGATTTAAAGGGAATCGAGGCATATAAGTTGTATTACCTCGGTTGCAATTCCAACCTATGCCTAATACTTTGAAAAATTCAACCACCTCCCTGCAGAACTGACTTCTCGCACTTGGCAGCTTTTCAGATCTTGCCTACTACCTTGGTTTTTGGGTGAATCGATGCGGTATGTTTGTCCAGCACTGACAAGTCTGATTATTGAACGTTCTAATTCTTTTTTCTCAACACCTACGACCTCAGTTCACTCAAACCCGGTGCGAAAAAGGGTTTATACTTCGGTTAGGTAGAAAACCGAGGCGTATAAGTTGAATGTAATTTCAAAAATGTCATTTTATATTTTATTTTTATTTATTTCTAAGGTGTATAGGCATCGATTGCTTTGTTAACCGAGACATATAGGCATCTATTATCTCAGGTAAGTGAAGAACCGAGGTAGTATAGCTTTTTATACTCCAGAATGTATTAAAAATTTTAACCTACTGTTTAATCTTCTTCTTCCTCCCGCAAGAGCTCTTCTTCCTCGCGCACCCAAGAAGTCTTCTTCTTCCTCATGCAAGCCTCCATTGCTCTGGCACCATCCTCGTTGCTCGCTTTCTTCACGCTTTGGTGCCTCTGATTCTCTCGTTGTTGCTCCAAAGTGTATTGTTGCATCCCTCCAAAGTGTCTCGCTGTTGCTCCAAAGTGTCTCATTGGGCTTGGCGGAGTTTCGCGAGATCAGGAGGAAACTCTTTTCTCATGGCGCGGCGAGAACGCGGCGGTGGCAACGTGGTGGCGATTAGGCGTTGGATCTGCGTTTCACGACACTTCCTTCACAATTTTGGGCGATTTTGTGGTCTGATTTGCAGGTTTGGAAGCTAATGAAGGTGTGAAAGGGTTCGCAATTCTTGCAATTTGGGGCTTGATTTCTGGTTTGGTGATTTTTGTTTGTAGGTCGCGAATGGAGTTTCTATGAAGACGAAGCTTGCAATGACACTGTCTCGTAATTTCCATGGTGGCACGATGGCTTCGCGTGATGAAGACGAGTTCTTGCGGTGGTTGTTGCAATGGGTTTCGCATATGGAGGAGATCGCGATGAGCTCACATGCTTGGAGGTTCGGAGATGGTGGCTTCACGACGACGCAATTTAGTGGAGGCACAGAAAAGGAAGAAGACGCGACTAGGGTTTATGAAAAATGGATGTGTGATTTGGAACTAAAAAAATTAAAAACACTCTACTGCCTCGGTTGTCTATGAACTAAGGCAGAATCCGAACCCTTTTGTCTCGGTTCAAAACCGAGGCAAAAAGCCTACTCCTTTATGTCTCGCCTATATATGTTTTGGTTGCAGAACCGCTGCATATAAACGAAAATAACCGATATTGTTTCCTTTAACGACACTAGTGAGTTTTAATCCAATATAATATATAATCTAATTAATAAAAAAATTTAACATATTCTTGTAATAAAAATGTATATTTTATAACTAAAAGTATTAATAATATTCTTGTAATGCTTTACTAAAAGATCAAAATTGTTTAATTTCAGAAAACTGAAACATGTATGATATTTAATCTTTACAAAAGTAAAAAAGTAATACAAAATTATAGAGGTAAGAATTAGATTGAAAATTTTATATTTTTAGTTAGTGGACAAGTCAATGATATATTCATTAAATAGTTAGTCGACAAGTCAATGAGCAAGTCATGCAATGATATATTCATTAAATAGAGGAAACATTTGTGGATAGAAAGCATAGTTGCTAACAATATATGCACTTTTCTATCCTTCTGGCATTGAAAGAAGAATATGAAAGCTTAATGATTAGTGCTATAAGTGAGAGAATGTTGAAGTTGAAAGAAAATAAGTAAGGAAGCATTCCATTTCGTCCAAATAAATGTTTCTAATAATTTAATCTAAGTCTTCTTACAAGTCTTCCCCTTTGTTCTTTGGGTAGTTCAATATTTATTGTCCTTTCTTTTTCACATTAAAGAAATAAGTGTTTGTGATTTAAGTTTCTAGAACTAGTTAAATTTAGTGTTCCCATTTGGAATTCAACTCTTTTTAACGGAATATTTAATGATCTGAAATCTTTGATTTATTAATATATAATATGAGGTGTGGGAAATAAGGAAGAAAATAACGTTTTAACAAGTACTCTCTACACACAAAATTGTCTAGATAACTAATAAAAAATTAAAAAAAAAACAAAAAAAAACATAAAGATATAAAATTAAAAAAAATAATAAATAAATAATTCTTTCTTTTTTCTTATCATGTTTATTTTATTTCATTTAATTTATTTTATTTTATTTTGATTCGATGATTTTATTTGGTTTTGGATTTTATTTCATTTTATTTGAGTTTATTTTTTATTTGATTTAATTTTGTTTTAAGTGATTTGATTTTAAGGATTTTATTTTATTTTATTTTGTTTTTTTTTATTTTATTTTATTTTATTTTATTTTATTTTATCTTATTTTATCTTATCTTAGTATGTTTTATTGTTTCTTTCTTCATTTTATTATTCTATTTTGCCAACCTTTAATTCCATCCTTTACAACTCACAGCCCACGTTACAGACTACGGCCACAACATCTGGACCCATCTGCTGGACCCATCTTCTTGGCATCATCCCACTCTGCTCAACAAAAAGAATACAAATCCCATATTCTAGGCACCTCGGATGCCTTCACATGTCCCTCCACCAATACCATCATGACCCACCCATAACACCGTTTCATCACCAATCTGGGGATGCTAATTTGAATAATAAGAAAATGAACTGCGTGTACAACGAGAAAAATAAAATATTCTTTCTTCCTGTATATAAAATTGTGTAGAGCTAAGAGACACTTTTTATGTTGTCCTCTTTTTTATTATCTGATTTTTGAACTTCATACGTCAAATTCTTCCGGAGAGGTGTGTTTTAGGAATTCTTTCTCACGTATTAGGACTTAATAAAGTGTACTTACCTTTTGCAGCTTAACATTGTATTTATAGGTTATTTCATAGAACCTAAACTAGAATAGGTACAATAAAACGAACTTACATTTAAATTCGGTCTTTTATTCATAAATAATTTTCTTATCCTATAATTAGTTATTAATATATATAATCAATATCTTTAATCGTTGTCTTTAATCGTTGTATTATTAATTTATTAACAGTTATTTTTGTCCAAATCATTAGCCCAATAATAATATCTTAAAAATTAGTACAATTGAACATCAATAATAATTTTAAGTGGTGGTCTGTATCAATAAGTTAAGCAGCAGCCAAACATTTAATCTGCTTGACCGCAGCGTACCAAGATTTAATCTGCTTTACCTTTGATGTAAGGAATAGACCGAGTGGTTATGATTGTTAACCTTTCTGCGTATCCTAGATACCATACATACTTCAACTAGTTTCATTTCCTTTTAAAAAACACAATGAGTGGATTGGCATGGGGATTCCCATTTTGTAAAGTAGAGAGAAAGGGTTTGAAATCGAAAAAGAAAGGAAGAATAGTGGTAAGCAGAAAAAAAGCTGGGGCTGGGAAAAGCTACTGGACTGGAAAGAAACCAAAAGGAGAAACAGAGGGGATAGCAAAGAAAACCAGAAAAAAAAAGAAAAAAAAAGAGGAAACCTCTGGAATAAGGTTGGAGGAAAGGAATTGAAGACGATCAGAAAGGATAATTACACAGCAATAGTGAGAAAAGGAAGCTGCTGGAAAGAAACGAAAAGAGGAAAGGAGGAGGAAGCGAGCACGGAGAAAACCAAAGAAGAGTGGTAAGCAGGGGGAAATGAGAGAGATTTTTCTAAAGCTACGAAGGTAAGTCTTTTCTATATTAGCTTTTTGGTCTTACTCGTGTTATGAATCAATGTTTCCTACATGCTGTTTAATCATTGTTTCACCTCTGCATCCTATTGTTATTTGCTCTGTTGTATACCCGTAAGGTTCAATTATGTTAACTGTTTTATGTTTGAATAATGCTCCGCTGTGGTTGAAATTTTCAGACATATTAAATAACTTTGTTGGTAAGTATTCTTGTTTTAATACGCATTTCTTTCGGATATCTCTACCTTTTGTGGCTTATGTTTTTAGCATTTTTATTGTATCTAAAGCTGTTATTCTAATTAGTTTAGATTTCAAACTGAATTAATTCATGCTTGGAAATAAAGTCGATTAGTTTGTCATCTATTGTTAATAGCGAGTTCCAATATTCAAGAGTGAGTGTTGATAGCGCAGAGTGGGGTTGAGAGTGGAAGAAACAAACAAAAAAGATTCAAATTATGCCTAAACGCAGTCCTAACTGACCATTTAATATATGCCAGATGAAGGAAGAGAAAGGGAAGAAATCTCATATGCACTATTCTGCAACACGTTTTGATCTTCTTTCTCAAAAGGGAAACGCGTAAATGAGACCAAAACAGGACAGTCTTAGCTATAATGCTTCTGGGCAAGTGACTAGACTAGTAATTACTCAAGACAGTATCACGGACTTGAACCATGTTTCTCAAATGTGTGGGGTTCAACCGTTCCAAGCACACAAGTTCATCTCAGAGAAAGTATCCAACGATAATAGAAGAGCTGTGCTGTCAATTTTCTCTCGCCGATCTTAGAAAATCAACCAACAATTTCGACTATAGACACAAAATAGACTCTCGTGGTCGAGTATACAAAGGTATTCTTGAACATAATGGTGTCACTGATTATGCTGTTGCATTAAGGCGGATATTTGAGATAGAAAACCCTGGAATCATTCACTTCAAGAACGAAATTGAGTTGTTGTGTCAGCTTCATCATCCTAATTTGATCCCTCTTATAGGATTCTACGAGGGAAAAAATGAGAGGATTCTTGTATATGAGTACATGGTTAATGGATCTCTAGATCGACAACTGGAAAGAGGGGAACTTTCGTGGAAGAAAAGACTAGAGATTTGCATAGGAGCAGCACGTGGACTACACTACCTTCACGCTGGAGCCAAGCGCACCATCATTCATCGCAACATCAAACCTAGCAAAATTCTTTTGGATGCAAACATGGAGCCAAAGATTTCAGATTTTGGCCTTAGCGTACAGGGACAGCGTTTTATGTCAAAGCCAAAGCCAATTAAAGTAGATTATGTTGCGGGTAATAATGTTTTATTTTATCATATTACTTACGTACTGCCATGAAATTTTGGGTTGTTTTTACCATTTTGGTAATGGGTTGGTCACGACTTTGTATAATAAAATCACTTTCAGCATCCAAGGTTATCAGATACCATACAGAGTTGGCACAGCAGAAAGCAAAGCTAACTAGAAACAACAGAAAACTAAAAATGATATGTCCTAATAAAGGTTCTGCTTTGTTTTCATGTTAATCACGACTTTCTTTACATAAAGTCGTATTTACAAAGCACATTTACTAATTCCTGCAAATTGTTTTGAAATATGGAACCTTCGAGGTGAAATTCCAGCGGAATGGTAACAAATCCAAGATTTTGTCAGTTAAAATAAGACATTGCTTTCATTTATAGGTACTTATGGCTACGTGGCTGCGGAGCAATTTAAGAACCTGACCATCACAGATAAAACCGATGTTTATTCATTTGGTATGGTTCTATTCGAAGTTGTGAGTGGAAAGACATATATGAGTTTAATAGAAGAAGAGGAAAAGTTTGAAATGCCGGTTGAAGAGAAAGTTGATCCGAAAATCAAAGGAAAGATTACACCTGAGTCTTGGCAAGTCTTTATAGATATCGTGCAAGGATGCTTGAAATACGAAGCAGATGAGCGACCAACAATGGGTGAGGTAGAGGTGCAACTTGAGCATGCTCTGTTGTTGCAGGAACAAGCAGATATCACAAACATCCATGGTGATTATGTTTTATTGTCTAAAACCATTATTTATCTAAAGGCTGAGTTAGAAGATGAAGATATCGGTATAACAGAGGACAGTGACTAAGAAGACATGTTTCATAGTTAATTTTGTGAGCTCAAATAAAGGCTTTTAGCTTTTTCAGACAAACAAAGCTGTTATCTTAACTTTTGCAATAATTCAGTTCAATTATGATATCTCTAGCTTTTGTACCAATCATGGTTCAAGCATTTTGATGAATGCTGAAGTATATAAATCTGAAGAGTGAAGAAATTGCTGTCTGTTTTTACTTCTCGTGTTTATTCTGAACTCAACTTCCATAAACTATTCTTCACAATTTTTGTTTTGTTTTTCAGAATACGTACCTGCTTTTCATGATTTTTTTTAAAATGCAACATATTTTTTTTTATATTTTTAAGTATTTTTATTTCAGATTATAAATTTACATAAACTACGCAAATACTTGTTAATAATCAACACTTGCTAGTTATAATTAAATTAAATCTTTCTTCTACTCCTCGTAGTTTCGTCAATGGGTAATTTTTGGTTTCTATAAAAATTTTATATGGTCTCTAAGGGTTTAAATTAAACAATTTTAGTTCAATATAATATATCATCTAATTTAAAAAAAAAATCTAATATACTTTTGTAATAAAAATGTAAAGTTTATAATTAAATACGTACTACTAATAAATTCTAGAAAACAAGTAATTAATTTTTTTTGTGGTGAATGTTTTAGTAAAAGATCAACATTTAATTTGAGAAAACAGAAACATGAAATATGATATTCAATGATATTTGAGAAAACAACAAATTACAAAATTATATTTATAGTCAAAAAGTCAATGAACAAGTCATGCAATTATATATTTATTAAGCAGATGAAAATTTCCGGCGAGAAATCAAAGTTTGCTAACAATATGTGTAACTTTCTATCCTTCTGGCTTTGATAGAAGATGACAAAATGTTGAAGTTGAAAGAAAAGACGTATATATGGAAAAATCCCATCGCGTCCAAATAAATGTTTCTAATAGTTTTACCAAGTCTTAGCCTTTGTTCTTTGGACGGTTCAATATTTATTGTCCTTTATTTTTCTCATAAAAAAACAAATTTATGTTAGTTTAAATTTCTAGTTATTAAATTAAGTTAGTGTTGTTACTAGGAATTCAACTTTTTTTTTTTAAGTGGAACATTATTAATATGCAAGACAAGTTGTGGAAAATAAGGAAGGAAATAATTTTCTATTAACTAAAATAGGGAAGAAAAATAAGTTTAATTTTAACAACTAAAATAATATTTAAGTAACTATACAAAGAAAAGTAAATACTATTGAAAAAATCACTTTTTATACGTTTCAATCAAATTGAATAAATAAAAACTAATTCATTTTAATAAGTTAAATAAATGTGAACTATTTATGTAAAGTAAATAGAGTGTATATAATTTGTAAGGATCTAAAATTTAATTTGTAGTAATAAGTGATTATTTTATTAATAAAAGTTAAATTATAAATAAGATTTTGTATTAATAAAGTTTTATTTTATAAAAATTATTATTTCTTTATATATTTTTTTTAAATTTCTTTGCCTACTCTCTAATATGTGGTTTTATTTTTTATTTATTTTAAGATTAGAGATATCGGAAGGATTTTTATAAACAAACTAACTAATCTAATCAATTAAAATTAAAAATAGAGTAAGTTTACTTTTTATTTATATTTTAGTTAGTTTAACGATTTAAGTTTAATGTGCTTTTCTTTTTTTGTATGTGACTTAAAATGTGTTATAATTTTTTATTGAAATTTTCCAAACGGAATTAGAACATTTTGAGACCTAGAATATTTAGGAACAAGTATAAGTGAATGTTTTCTCCACCAGGTAATAGAAATCTTTAATTGTATATTTTAGCTTGTTTGTATGAATTAATGTCTGATTATTGAGTTCAATTGTATGATAAATTTTACTCTGTGATACTGGATGTACACTTGTGAAGATTGAATTATTCGGAAAAGCACAATTTTCATTTTTTTAGTAAGTTAAAATCAAATTACACATACTTAAATTTCTGTAAAAAAAAGAGGTATGGTCTAACTTTTTCAAAAGCTTAATTACAAAAATTAATTTGAAATTCAAGATATAAATGAAGTGATTATATATTTTGTTTTATTGCCCTTAAAATACCCGTGGAGAAATTTGAGGAAGAAGACCATACTTCATTGACTTGTACAGCAGCCAGTCCAAACAAAAAGAAGACAAAGAAAGTATAATCTTGAACTTTACAGGTAGTTTAAAATAATAAAAAATATATATAAAACTTTGACCATTAGAAATCAATATTTTCTACCTAGACATGAAGTTGATTAGTGAAAAAAAGAAAAAAAAAAGGGTAGGCCCTCTGGAATGTTTATATAAAAAGTAAAAATGCAAAAAAATTATTTACAATATCACTTTTGTAGTGATAAATAGAACTATTACCTACTTATACAAATTTTATCACTCAAAACTTGTTTAAATACTAGATATGAATATTAAAAAATAAATTAGGATATATTTTCAATAATAAAATTTTAAATAATAAAATAAGAATAATAGCAAATAAATTAAAATATATTTATCTCATATAAATATAGAAGAATTTTGTCTTAATGAAACTCTAATAAATATGTCTCGAAACCCATTTTAAAAGAATTTAATATATCTTAAGAAAAGTAAAGACATAAAATATTTAATAATTCTAAAAAGTAGTTAATATTAACTTATTAATATTAATTTTTAAGTTGATTTTTGGTGTTTGAGTTGAGCTCTCTTTGTCGCTCTGATTACAGATTATCGATGGACCCAACTTGCACACGAACTGCTTTTAGAACCATTCTCTTCCTCTACCTTATGTGGTGCCTCTCTTTCCTTTCCACAGCAGACGATATTTATCGTCCCACTGACTTCTTTAGCATCAGTTGTGGCTCATCGACCAACTTCTCCACTCCCGACACTCGGAATTGGACTTCAGACAATCACTTCCTCTCTCCAACAAACCCCTCAGTCGCTGCTCCTTCACTCACACCATCTACCATACAGGGTCCCTACACCCATGCTCGTCTCTCTTACTCCTCATTCAATTACTCCTTCCCTGTCACACCAGGCCCCAAGTTCATTCGTCTCTTCTTCTACTCTACTTCATACCATAACTTCCCTCGCTTCCAAGCCTCTTTCTCAGTCAGAGCAGGCCCCTACACCCTCCTTCAAGATTTCAATGCTTCCCTCAACGCCGATGCAGATGATGACCCTAGCCACTCTGACATCTTGTTCAGAGAGTATTGCGTTTACTTTGGAGACGGTGAGAACCTGACTATAACCTTCTTTCCCAGTACTACTGATTCATACGCTTTCATCAACGGGATCGAGATTGTTTCCATGCCCCCTTATCTCTACTACACCGATCCTCACTCCACAGAGCAGCCGCAATATGTTNCTAGATACCATACATACTTCAACTAGTTTCATTTCCTTTTAAAAAACACAATGAGTGGATTGGCATGGGGATTCCCATTTTGTAAAGTAGAGAGAAAGGGTTTGAAATCGAAAAAGAAAGGAAGAATAGTGGTAAGCAGAAAAAAAGCTGGGGCTGGGAAAAGCTACTGGACTGGAAAGAAACCAAAAGGAGAAACAGAGGGGATAGCAAAGAAAACCAGAAAAAAAAAGAAAAAAAAAGAGGAAACCTCTGGAATAAGGTTGGAGGAAAGGAATTGAAGACGATCAGAAAGGATAATTACACAGCAATAGTGAGAAAAGGAAGCTGCTGGAAAGAAACGAAAAGAGGAAAGGAGGAGGAAGCGAGCACGGAGAAAACCAAAGAAGAGTGGTAAGCAGGGGGAAATGAGAGAGATTTTTCTAAAGCTACGAAGGTAAGTCTTTTCTATATTAGCTTTTTGGTCTTACTCGTGTTATGAATCAATGTTTCCTACATGCTGTTTAATCATTGTTTCACCTCTGCATCCTATTGTTATTTGCTCTGTTGTATACCCGTAAGGTTCAATTATGTTAACTGTTTTATGTTTGAATAATGCTCCGCTGTGGTTGAAATTTTCAGACATATTAAATAACTTTGTTGGTAAGTATTCTTGTTTTAATACGCATTTCTTTCGGATATCTCTACCTTTTGTGGCTTATGTTTTTAGCATTTTTATTGTATCTAAAGCTGTTATTCTAATTAGTTTAGATTTCAAACTGAATTAATTCATGCTTGGAAATAAAGTCGATTAGTTTGTCATCTATTGTTAATAGCGAGTTCCAATATTCAAGAGTGAGTGTTGATAGCGCAGAGTGGGGTTGAGAGTGGAAGAAACAAACAAAAAAGATTCAAATTATGCCTAAACGCAGTCCTAACTGACCATTTAATATATGCCAGATGAAGGAAGAGAAAGGGAAGAAATCTCATATGCACTATTCTGCAACACGTTTTGATCTTCTTTCTCAAAAGGGAAACGCGTAAATGAGACCAAAACAGGACAGTCTTAGCTATAATGCTTCTGGGCAAGTGACTAGACTAGTAATTACTCAAGACAGTATCACGGACTTGAACCATGTTTCTCAAATGTGTGGGGTTCAACCGTTCCAAGCACACAAGTTCATCTCAGAGAAAGTATCCAACGATAATAGAAGAGCTGTGCTGTCAATTTTCTCTCGCCGATCTTAGAAAATCAACCAACAATTTCGACTATAGACACAAAATAGACTCTCGTGGTCGAGTATACAAAGGTATTCTTGAACATAATGGTGTCACTGATTATGCTGTTGCATTAAGGCGGATATTTGAGATAGAAAACCCTGGAATCATTCACTTCAAGAACGAAATTGAGTTGTTGTGTCAGCTTCATCATCCTAATTTGATCCCTCTTATAGGATTCTACGAGGGAAAAAATGAGAGGATTCTTGTATATGAGTACATGGTTAATGGATCTCTAGATCGACAACTGGAAAGAGGGGAACTTTCGTGGAAGAAAAGACTAGAGATTTGCATAGGAGCAGCACGTGGACTACACTACCTTCACGCTGGAGCCAAGCGCACCATCATTCATCGCAACATCAAACCTAGCAAAATTCTTTTGGATGCAAACATGGAGCCAAAGATTTCAGATTTTGGCCTTAGCGTACAGGGACAGCGTTTTATGTCAAAGCCAAAGCCAATTAAAGTAGATTATGTTGCGGGTAATAATGTTTTATTTTATCATATTACTTACGTACTGCCATGAAATTTTGGGTTGTTTTTACCATTTTGGTAATGGGTTGGTCACGACTTTGTATAATAAAATCACTTTCAGCATCCAAGGTTATCAGATACCATACAGAGTTGGCACAGCAGAAAGCAAAGCTAACTAGAAACAACAGAAAACTAAAAATGATATGTCCTAATAAAGGTTCTGCTTTGTTTTCATGTTAATCACGACTTTCTTTACATAAAGTCGTATTTACAAAGCACATTTACTAATTCCTGCAAATTGTTTTGAAATATGGAACCTTCGAGGTGAAATTCCAGCGGAATGGTAACAAATCCAAGATTTTGTCAGTTAAAATAAGACATTGCTTTCATTTATAGGTACTTATGGCTACGTGGCTGCGGAGCAATTTAAGAACCTGACCATCACAGATAAAACCGATGTTTATTCATTTGGTATGGTTCTATTCGAAGTTGTGAGTGGAAAGACATATATGAGTTTAATAGAAGAAGAGGAAAAGTTTGAAATGCCGGTTGAAGAGAAAGTTGATCCGAAAATCAAAGGAAAGATTACACCTGAGTCTTGGCAAGTCTTTATAGATATCGTGCAAGGATGCTTGAAATACGAAGCAGATGAGCGACCAACAATGGGTGAGGTAGAGGTGCAACTTGAGCATGCTCTGTTGTTGCAGGAACAAGCAGATATCACAAACATCCATGGTGATTATGTTTTATTGTCTAAAACCATTATTTATCTAAAGGCTGAGTTAGAAGATGAAGATATCGGTATAACAGAGGACAGTGACTAAGAAGACATGTTTCATAGTTAATTTTGTGAGCTCAAATAAAGGCTTTTAGCTTTTTCAGACAAACAAAGCTGTTATCTTAACTTTTGCAATAATTCAGTTCAATTATGATATCTCTAGCTTTTGTACCAATCATGGTTCAAGCATTTTGATGAATGCTGAAGTATATAAATCTGAAGAGTGAAGAAATTGCTGTCTGTTTTTACTTCTCGTGTTTATTCTGAACTCAACTTCCATAAACTATTCTTCACAATTTTTGTTTTGTTTTTCAGAATACGTACCTGCTTTTCATGATTTTTTTTAAAATGCAACATATTTTTTTTTATATTTTTAAGTATTTTTATTTCAGATTATAAATTTACATAAACTACGCAAATACTTGTTAATAATCAACACTTGCTAGTTATAATTAAATTAAATCTTTCTTCTACTCCTCGTAGTTTCGTCAATGGGTAATTTTTGGTTTCTATAAAAATTTTATATGGTCTCTAAGGGTTTAAATTAAACAATTTTAGTTCAATATAATATATCATCTAATTTAAAAAAAAAATCTAATATACTTTTGTAATAAAAATGTAAAGTTTATAATTAAATACGTACTACTAATAAATTCTAGAAAACAAGTAATTAATTTTTTTTGTGGTGAATGTTTTAGTAAAAGATCAACATTTAATTTGAGAAAACAGAAACATGAAATATGATATTCAATGATATTTGAGAAAACAACAAATTACAAAATTATATTTATAGTCAAAAAGTCAATGAACAAGTCATGCAATTATATATTTATTAAGCAGATGAAAATTTCCGGCGAGAAATCAAAGTTTGCTAACAATATGTGTAACTTTCTATCCTTCTGGCTTTGATAGAAGATGACAAAATGTTGAAGTTGAAAGAAAAGACGTATATATGGAAAAATCCCATCGCGTCCAAATAAATGTTTCTAATAGTTTTACCAAGTCTTAGCCTTTGTTCTTTGGACGGTTCAATATTTATTGTCCTTTATTTTTCTCATAAAAAAACAAATTTATGTTAGTTTAAATTTCTAGTTATTAAATTAAGTTAGTGTTGTTACTAGGAATTCAACTTTTTTTTTTTAAGTGGAACATTATTAATATGCAAGACAAGTTGTGGAAAATAAGGAAGGAAATAATTTTCTATTAACTAAAATAGGGAAGAAAAATAAGTTTAATTTTAACAACTAAAATAATATTTAAGTAACTATACAAAGAAAAGTAAATACTATTGAAAAAATCACTTTTTATACGTTTCAATCAAATTGAATAAATAAAAACTAATTCATTTTAATAAGTTAAATAAATGTGAACTATTTATGTAAAGTAAATAGAGTGTATATAATTTGTAAGGATCTAAAATTTAATTTGTAGTAATAAGTGATTATTTTATTAATAAAAGTTAAATTATAAATAAGATTTTGTATTAATAAAGTTTTATTTTATAAAAATTATTATTTCTTTATATATTTTTTTTAAATTTCTTTGCCTACTCTCTAATATGTGGTTTTATTTTTTATTTATTTTAAGATTAGAGATATCGGAAGGATTTTTATAAACAAACTAACTAATCTAATCAATTAAAATTAAAAATAGAGTAAGTTTACTTTTTATTTATATTTTAGTTAGTTTAACGATTTAAGTTTAATGTGCTTTTCTGTTTTTGTATGTGACTTAAAATGTGTTATAATTTTTTATTGAAATTTTCCAAACGGAATTAGAACATTTTGAGACCTAGAATATTTAGGAACAAGTATAAGTGAATGTTTTCTCCACCAGGTAATAGAAATCTTTAATTGTATATTTTAGCTTGTTTGTATGAATTAATGTCTGATTATTGAGTTCAATTGTATGATAAATTTTACTCTGTGATACTGGATGTACACTTGTGAAGATTGAATTATTCGGAAAAGCACAATTTTCATTTTTTTAGTAAGTTAAAATCAAATTACACATACTTAAATTTCTGTAAAAAAAAGAGGTATGGTCTAACTTTTTCAAAAGCTTAATTACAAAAATTAATTTGAAATTCAAGATATAAATGAAGTGATTATATATTTTGTTTTATTGCCCTTAAAATACCCGTGGAGAAATTTGAGGAAGAAGACCATACTTCATTGACTTGTACAGCAGCCAGTCCAAACAAAAAGAAGACAAAGAAAGTATAATCTTGAACTTTACAGGTAGTTTAAAATAATAAAAAATATATATAAAACTTTGACCATTAGAAATCAATATTTTCTACCTAGACATGAAGTTGATTAGTGAAAAAAAGAAAAAAAAAAGGGTAGGCCCTCTGGAATGTTTATATAAAAAGTAAAAATGCAAAAAAATTATTTACAATATCACTTTTGTAGTGATAAATAGAACTATTACCTACTTATACAAATTTTATCACTCAAAACTTGTTTAAATACTAGATATGAATATTAAAAAATAAATTAGGATATATTTTCAATAATAAAATTTTAAATAATAAAATAAGAATAATAGCAAATAAATTAAAATATATTTATCTCATATAAATATAGAAGAATTTTGTCTTAATGAAACTCTAATAAATATGTCTCGAAACCCATTTTAAAAGAATTTAATATATCTTAAGAAAAGTAAAGACATAAAATATTTAATAATTCTAAAAAGTAGTTAATATTAACTTATTAATATTAATTTTTAAGTTGATTTTTGGTGTTTGAGTTGAGCTCTCTTTGTCGCTCTGATTACAGATTATCGATGGACCCAACTTGCACACGAACTGCTTTTAGAACCATTCTCTTCCTCTACCTTATGTGGTGCCTCTCTTTCCTTTCCACAGCAGACGATATTTATCGTCCCACTGACTTCTTTAGCATCAGTTGTGGCTCATCGACCAACTTCTCCACTCCCGACACTCGGAATTGGACTTCAGACAATCACTTCCTCTCTCCAACAAACCCCTCAGTCGCTGCTCCTTCACTCACACCATCTACCATACAGGGTCCCTACACCCATGCTCGTCTCTCTTACTCCTCATTCAATTACTCCTTCCCTGTCACACCAGGCCCCAAGTTCATTCGTCTCTTCTTCTACTCTACTTCATACCATAACTTCCCTCGCTTCCAAGCCTCTTTCTCAGTCAGAGCAGGCCCCTACACCCTCCTTCAAGATTTCAATGCTTCCCTCAACGCCGATGCAGATGATGACCCTAGCCACTCTGACATCTTGTTCAGAGAGTATTGCGTTTACTTTGGAGACGGTGAGAACCTGACTATAACCTTCTTTCCCAGTACTACTGATTCATACGCTTTCATCAACGGGATCGAGATTGTTTCCATGCCCCCTTATCTCTACTACACCGATCCTCACTCCACAGAGCAGCCGCAATATGTTGCCAAAATGACTCCATATGTCACTGAGCACAAATTTGCTCTCGAGACCATGTTCAGGTTAGTCGTTTCCGCTGAAATTGCTTCCTCACGGGACACGGGTATGCTCAGAACGTGGAAACCTGACATCAAGTACGTAACTACTCAATATTATCAACCAGTTAACTATGAGAAAATTAAAAGGCTGACGTTCATTACAACCTATAACTACACGGCACCAGACCAAGTGTACAGAACCGTTCGGAGTATGGGACTTAATGCCTCTATCAACATGGGTTTCAATCTCACATGGCAGCTTCCTGTTGATTCTGGCTTCACCTACATGATACGGTTACACTTTTGCCAGCTTGATCCTAGGGTTAACAACACTGGTGACTTGATTTTCAAAATCATCATAGCGGATCAGTTGGCAACCAACTGGACAGACGTTCTCATGTGGACTGATAATCAGAGGGGTGTACCGGTGGTTAAAGACTACGTAGTTTCCATCTTAGCCCCAGATAATCAGAAAAAGGCATATCTTTCTGTGAAATTACACCCTCACGATAAAAGCTTGATCAAAGACGCACAACTAAACGCAATTGAACTCTTCAAAATAAGCGACCCAACAGGTAATCTCGCTGGGCCGAACCCAGACCTGCCTCCATTATCAAAAACTAAAAAGAGCAGAACCCCTGCCGCCGTTGCAGGGGCAGTTTCGGGTGTCCTTTTGTTCTCCTTTATTGTCGCCTTTTTCCTCATCAAACGCCGGAAGAATGTCGTTGACAACAAGGGTCCCAATAAAAAGGAAGGAACTTCTCGGAGCAGCGGCTCATTACTGATACCGACCGCCCTCTGCCGACAGTTCTCAATGGCCGAAATGAAAGTCGCAACCAACAACTTCGACAAAGTCTTCGAGGTTGGCGTCGGAGGCTTCGGTAACGTGTACAAAGGTCACATCGACAAAGGCTCAACTACTGTCGCAGTCAAAAGGCTTAAACCGGGTTCTCGCCAAGGTATTCGCGAGTTCAAGAATGAGATCCAAATGCTGTCTCAACTTTGTCACCCCAATATCGTTTCCCTCATTGGTTACTGCTACGAGAACAACGAGATGATCCTCGTTTACGATTTCATGAATCACGGCAACCTCAGTGACCATCTCTACGACACTGATAACCCGTCTTTGTCGTGGAAACGTAGGCTCCAGATATGCATAGGTGTTGCACGAGGATTGCATTATCTGCATACAGGTGTGGAGCAGGTGATCATTCACCGTGACGTGAAGAGCAGCAATATCTTGTTGGATGAAAAATGGGTGGCGAAGGTTTCAGATTTCGGATTATCCCGAATTGGGGGGCCCAGTGGTTCTTCGATGAGTCTCGTGAGCGTGAACACTGAGGTGAAAGGTAGTATTGGATATTTGGACCCAGAATATTACAAGCGATACCTTTTGACGGAGAAGTCTGACGTGTACTCACTTGGAGTGATGTTGTTGGAGGTGTTATCTGGGAGGAAGCCTTTGCTCCCTGGGGAGGAAAAGCAACGAATTTCACTTGTTAATTGGGCGAAACATTGCTATGAGAAGGGAACTCCGAATGAGATTGTGGATACAGAACTCAAGGACCAGGTAGCACCTCAGTCTCTGCTCAAATTTATTGAGGTTGCATTCACCTGTTTGCTTGAAGACGGGACTCAACGACCTTCCATGAACGATGTCGTTGAGCTGTTGGAGTTTGCTCTTCAGCTTCAGGATGGTGTTGTTAATGGTGCGTTGCAGAGTTCTCTTAATTATGAAGATTGTAACACCCCCAAAAACAGCATTATTTAGGCCTTTAGGCTTTACTAAATCCTACGCTTTCAACCACATCTATCTTCAGCATTCAAAGCAGAGAACTTCACCATGTTCTCAGACAAAGTCCAAAACATTAAAGTCCAAAACAGAGAACTAAATATAATATTATTTTAATCATATTTGTTTTATATTTTAATCTAAAATTCTAATATACATTATTATATTATTATAATGGGTTGTACACTGGAAATAAGAGAAAAATACGAGAATAATAATTTTTCATAGTCATATTACACTATTAACTTAGCATGGGTCAGCATCTATTCAAGACTTCACTGATTCACCATTTTCTATCAGGTCTTTGACTGAGCATAGGTTTACCTCCTGTTTCAGGTTTTCGGAAAAACAACTTTATCTAAGTGAAGGAAAAACTATACATTTTTACCCAAAAAAATTATAAGAATTTTTTGTCCTATTATTTTTAATCTCTATATTTTTAATCAAATTTGATCATGAATCTGTAAATTTTCAAATTAGTTTTCCTTTAGAAGAAATTTGTGACTTTTGTTCTTCTCTTCTAATTCCATCAATGATCTAACTGACCGCAAGGATAATTTAGTGATGTTTATGATTTGTTGCTACCTGTATTAATGTGTAATTGTTTAAAGTCCTACAGATATATGGCGGCCAAGAGTTGCTTTTTGTGTTTGGTTTCTTCGTTTGTTTTGCGCAAAAACTGCCAATAAAACCTAAGTTTAATAATACTGCAAACGCAAATTCAGGGAGCTCTAGGCCACTAAAAATTATATTTTAGATTATCTCAATTTAAAAAATGTTAGCAAATAATTTGTTGTTTTCAACACTAACATAGTTAATGAGAAAGGATGAAAGTCTTAATTTATCTTAAAAATACAGAACTACTTACGGATTCAAAGATGAATATATCAAATTTGATTAATGTCAGTTTATTTTATTATCTAGAGTTATCAAATGTATGCATTTTAAATTTAAATAATCAATAGGAGTGGACTTATTTTATTTGTCATTTTCTCCTTTACATCTCCCTTGTCAAAAAAAAAATGAGTGGACATTTATATTTCTGTATTAATTAATTGAAATGCTTAAAGTTGAAGTTAAATGACCGTTTTATACATGCCAGTGACCAAGTTAAATAACCATTTTCTTCATTCTAAGTAAACATTACAATTCACAGGAGGCCTGGCTTAATACTTATTTTAGTCCGTTAGTTTTGTTTAAAGTAGTTTTTGACTTTTTTCAACATTCAATTTAGTTTCAAGCACAGTTTGTCATTTCGCGAACGTGAAGATATCAGTATCGTAGAAGACAATTACTTAGAAGTGATGTTTCATTGGTAATTTTGTGAGCTCAATTGAAGGCTTTTAGCTTTTTGGGACAAACAAAGCAGTTGCTGTATACTTTGCGCTGTAGTTAAGTACAATTAAGATATCTCTGGCATTTGTAGCAATCCTTGTTTTAAGCATTTTTATGAGTGTGATTGTATCTGAATTATAAATCTGAAGGCAGTGAAGAAAATCTTGCTTCAGCCTATATTGTTTTTACTTCTTCTCATGTTTATTCTGAATTTCATAACTTCACACTACAAGAAATTGAATGAGAAAACAACAGTATAAAGATGAATCTTTAGGCCCAACCTTAGAAAATAATTGAGAACTTTAATCGGGAGATATCAATAGAAACATATTACATGTTTTTGCGTGCTAACCGCAGGTCAACCCTGTGTCCCAGGACAGGAAAGTCAGCTGTGTTATCTTAACAAATGTGACTAATTTGTATACTCTCCACACTCGACCTATATACCAGATTTAACAAATCACAGTGAAAACTATTATCTTTTATCCTGTAGTGTCATGTTGGCCACAAGAAACAGTAGGAGTAAGAACAATATGCACTCAAACAGTTATTCCTTCACAGCTTTCAAATTATAGTAATTAAAGATAATTGCAATGATGACATCTTTAGATACAGTGAGATTAAAACAGCTACAAACAAGGATCACTACAAAAGCTAGTGATATCTCAATTTAGTTTAACTGCTGAAAAAAGTACATACACATTGAATTTTTTAATACATTTGGTAAGCGTGAGTAAGGAAATGCTTTATCAGAATGGTAGCTCCCTGAATTGATTAGAGCTCACCAAATAACTAAAGAAAGATGTGTTGTAAGCCCTGTGATATCTTTCAGAGACAAAGGATGTTCCAAATCCCATTCTGGTCTAATTAATAATGGTTTTGGACAATAAGGTATATTCAACATTGGTATTTGCAGTATCTGCTTGTTCCTGCAACAACAAAGCATGCTCAAGTTGCATCTCTACTTCACCCATCGTTGGTCGCTCATCTGCTTCATATTTTACGCATCCTTGAATGATTTCTACAAAGACTTGCCAACACTCAGGGGCAATCTTTCCTTCGATATTCGGATGAAGTTTCTCTTCAACAGGCCTCAGAAATTCTCTTTCTGTTACCCTTTTCACATATGACCCTCCACACACAACTTCTAATAGAACCATACCAAATGAGTAAACATCAGTTTTATCAGTGATGGTAAGGTCCACGAGATGCTCCTTAGCCAGGTAGCCAAAAGTACCTATAAATGAAAGTATCATCTTAGTCTAACTGGTAAAATTTCATTAATAAGCAACGTCATGAAATGAAACATTACCAACAACAGAATCTACTTTAATCGGCTTTGGCTTTGACATAAAACGCTGTCCCTGTACGCTAAGGCCAAAATCTGCAAGCCTTGGCTCCATGTTCCCATCCAAAAGAATGTTGCTAGGATTGATATTACGATGAATGATGGTGCGCTTTGCTCCAGCGTGAAGATAGTGCAGTCCACGCGCTGCTCCTATGCAGATCTCCAACCTTTTCTTCCATGACAGTTTCCCGCTTTGTATGTGTTGATAAAGAGATTCATTGGAAAGGTATTCGTACACAATAATCTTCTCTTTCTTGTGGTTGCAGAATCCTACAAGAGAGACGATATTAGGGTGACGAAGCTGGCAGAGCAACTCTATTTCATTCTTGAAGATGTCATTGTCTTTTACATTAAATCTTTTTATTGTGACTGTATAAGGAGAGCCGTGTCTATGTTGGAGAGAAGCTTCATATACTTTGCAAAATGAATCACGTCCAACTACCCTTTTTGGATCAAAGTTGTTGGTTGATTTGGTAAGATGGGAGAGAGAAACTTGATGGCACAACTCTTCTATAATTGTTGGATAATTTCTCTGAGATGTGTTCTTGGAACAGCTGAAGCCCAGACATTTGAGAAACATAGTTTCAAACACTTGCCTCTAACCCACCACTGTCCACCTCTACTCATCTTCGATCTTCGTAGCTAAGCTTGTCGTTGGTTTGTTTAATCAACGCGTTTCGTTAGAAAGAACTTTGTCAACCGTCCAACATATCTTGACAGTTGGCGGATCATATTTGTTTGAAATATTTGGAAATGTACGTGACTTTTTCTTACGGTCATTTTATTAAAATGTCAGATGTCTATGGTGTTTGTATTATGATTTCATGAGGACATCAAATAATTCAAGTTTGGGGAGTTGATAAATATGAAAAATATATGTTTTCAGATTTATTAATTAACTCAAAATTTGTATTTATTTATGAAATATTGTGTTTTCCTCGTTCAAAAGTTGTAATTAGAAGTAGAAAACTGTGTAGTAAATTGTACAGGAATTTATACATCAAAGTGGAGTACTATCAGATGTTTATCGCTAAGCCAGCATTAAATGGCTTAGCTAAATAGAGTTTTATTCGCTCAGCGCACCAGCACAACTCGCTGAGCGAATAAAGAACAATTAAAGATATGCTGCAGTTGAATATTTGCTTAGCGCATAAAGAGTTATGCGCTTAACAAATTAGTTATTTTTTCAATTGGCTTTTAAAGTGGGAAATAGACAGAAAGAACTCCTGACAGAAGTTCAGACTAAAGAAAGAAACGAAAACATCTCAGGAACTTCTGGAGACTACTTTAAGGCATCAAGACACTATTTTTTGCAAGGGATTGCTTCAAATGTGTATGTTTAGATGACTAGGAGTAGTTTTTCTTTCGTTGGAATGGGATGTAATGAACTCAATGTGATGTAATTTTTCTCTTCAATATATCGTTGTTCGTTCATATGCTCTTGAATTTACTATCATTGTATGAATATAATATAATGTTATTTGAATGTTTCTTATTACTGGAAAGTAACTTTGAACATGGACATAGATAGAGCACCTAAGTGATTTGGGATTTAGGGATAGACTCAATAAGTTGGTCATTCTTAACGTCGGACTTAATGCAAATTGTATGTTAAATTGACTAAGGGATTAACATTTTGATATATAAATTTAGAACAAGATGCTAAGGGATTAGGACTAATATTCCTTGATGTGAATGTTTAAATGAAATAATGATATATTGTATTTATATGATTCATGAAACTCAATTCCAACCAAATTTCTTTTAAATATAATTCCTTGCACACCAACAATTTGATAAAACACCAAAAAGAGTTTTTTGTGTTGTTTTGTGCATTTTGATGTCTAATTGAGTTATAAAAGAAGAATTGTCATGTGTTACACAAGTCCTTTGAGAGAACGATACTATGAACTTACTCTATATTACTTGGAACGATTTGGTATACTTGTCAAAATAGTTATCATTACTTTTCATTATCTTCCAACAACTTTTATGTCCTACCTAAGGTTTTGGATTGTGTTTATCACTATATTTTAAGTAGACCCAAAGTTGTTTTTATTCATATTCTTAAAATAAATATATATATATATATATATATATATATATATATATATATATATATATTTATTTATTGAGACACATAAACTTTTATATTTATTTAATATTGTTTCTTTTTTATTTTTTATTTTCTTTTTTCTTGAAAATATATAATTTTTTTTTATAACTGTTTTATTTTTATATTATATGTCAAATCGTACCATTTCAACTGTACGTTTCGGCAAACATCTAGATTCTATCTTTATTTTGAAAAAAAAAAGTTAGTTTGACACTACTTTTAATAATACATATTATTATTTTAAATTAAAAACATAATATAATTATAATCAAAATATTATTATTTAACTGCTTATAATTTCATTCCACGGATAAAAGTAGAATGTGACCCATTTAATTTGAAAAGTTAAATTTTGTAATGGGAAAATGTTCTTTTAACAACATGACTAGACATGTCCTTTTTTAGTTTCTGAGAAATATTTAAGAGCTTAGATGAAGAGAGTGATGAGATGAATGTTTTTAGCAAGTGACAAGTAATTAAGCAAGCAAGCGTCACAAATTGGAACCATTCTTCCTAAATGTTTGGGTTGCTGCGGTCGGAAACAGTATCCAACCGTAATACAAGAGTTGTGCCATGAATTTTCTCTCTCTGATATTGAGAAATCGACAAACAACTTTGACCGTAAGAGAATAATTGCAATTTCAAGCTTTGGTGGTAAAGTATACGAAGGTTGCCTCCAACACTACGATGGTTCTCAATATTCAGTTGCAATAACGCGATTGAATGAAGATGATGAAGACAATGAAGGACGCGACTGGTTTGAGAAAGAAATAGAGTTGCTCTGTCAGTTTCGTCACCCTAATTGTGTGTCTCTTAATTATAGGATTCTGCAACAACAAGAAAGAGAAGATTATTGTGCACGAGTACATGTCCAATGGATCTCTAGATCAACACATAGTACGAGGTGGGGATACAGAAGCACTTTCATGGAGGAAAAGGATAGAGATATGCATAGGAGTAGCTCGTGGACTACACTACCTTCACGCCGGACTCAAGCGCACCATTATTCACCGTGACGTTTGTCTCAGAAACATTCTTCTGGACAGCCACATGGAGCCAAAACTAGCATCTTTTAATCATTGAACTTAACACAAATTGTTTTGTTGAGTTACATATTGAAACTTATCAAAGGAATTTAGGTTCTTTTCATGTAAAGAATTAGGGTTTTTGACCAATTTGATGATGGAAGTTAATATTAAAATTCAAATTATTTGATCGAATATAATATTGTAAGAGTGATGTGTTCAAGTTATGTCTAATCTCAAAGTTTTACTCCTTTGCACAAACTCTCAATACTACAAGAATTTTAAGAATTATTGATAAATTTTATCTTTATAATTTAAATTATCAAGGATATTTTTTTCGATAATAAATTCATTGGTAAAAATCGTCAACAAAATTTGTTTGTAAAATTTATTAGAAAATTAGAAGTTATATTATCGATATATATATATATATATATATAGATAACAAATCTGACTTTTCATTTCGTCCATAATTTATAATTTTAATTTTTGACGAATTCTTTTGTTAGTAAATTTATCAATAAATTAAGTGACAAATTTTACGCTAAGTGATTTTTTATATATTAGTGTCAAGAAGAAGAAAATAATAAGATAAGGAGAAGGAGGAAGAGAAGGGCGAGTATGTCATGAAAACAGAGATGTAGTAACAACTTAATGGCGATGTGAAGGCACAATTGTGGCAGGGATGTGCGACGACAATGGTTGTTAGAATTGGAGGAGGTAGAGAAAGTGAAAGAGAAAAATAAAGAAAATGAGGATGAGTCAAAATTGACGGTAGTCAACATAGTGGTGATGGCAACAACAATAGAAGTGCGACAAGGGTGAGAGGAGGTAAAAAAAGATACAGAAAAAAGATGAAGAAGAGAATAACAAGAAAAGGAGAAAGATGAGTTTTACCAACAAACAGAATCTGTCAATAACTACCTATAAATATTTAGCGATAAATTTGTGATCATCAATAAATACCAACCTATTTTCTAATTCGTCAATAAAATTTATCAAAAACCACTTTATTGACATTTTTGTTGTTGATAATTCATGATAAACTTGAATTACTAATTGATTTTTACTATTATCAACCAATTATTTCCATCAATAATATGTTATTTCTTACGAGTCAACTTGTTAGAATATTTGTTTATCTTATTTAACAATTTCACAATAATTTGTTTATAAAAATTTTATAGTTCAATTAATTTAAATAATAAAAAAATATACATTTTGTTGCTATTATGCAAGTTTATTGAAATTTTTATTTCACTACTTGTATAATTTGGTATATTTGTCAAATAGACAGAGACGTGAGAAACTTTATGATATCAAGTTTATATATTTTTTATCATTGCAAATACTTTCTTAAGAATGGCATAGTCTTGAACAAAGCTATTTTACGAATAATATAACTTGGATTTTCCTAAAGTTTTGATATTGACCAAAGATTTTGTTACAAATTATATACTTTGATTTTCATAAAGTTTAGAAGAATATGAAGTCCTTCAAAAGAAGGGTTCAATATTTTAAAGACTTAGGTTAGGAGCTTAATCAATGAAAAATATCTTCACAAAGTAAGATTAACATAGGAAATGACTAAGAGATAAGATCATAAAGTCATGGTTGAATGGAAGTTAGACATAAAAGCATAGTGCCAGCAAATGATCATTTCCACGTACGACAGAACCAGCAAGAACGCAGGAAGCTTCAGACTAAACGCGCTTCAAGGAATATCCAAAACACTTTGCTAAAAGCCACGTGGGTGTGACACTTCACAAATACATCGATTCAACGTACAAAAGAAGTTTGGATTGGAGTTTATGAAGTTAGCGTCAGGATTAAGGCAAAGACTAGAAATAGGATTGCACCCATACTTCTTTTTCTTTACCTAAAACGCACGATGTTGTCTCTATTATCATTTCATTGACTAGACATGTTTATTTTTAGTGAAAGTCAATGCACGTAGGGACAGAGCAAGTAATGGGAGTGGCCAGCAATTAACTGTTCAATGTGATGTCTTTTGTTTCTGATCACCATTTTGTCTTCCCTTTCAAATTGAAACAATAAAAAAACTTTAGCTTTTCAAATTGAATGGTCACTTTGTACCTTTTTCCGTGGAAAAAAAAATGAGAGAAAATGAATATAGAATGAAGACTTTTTCCAAAATGCAGGGTTGAAAGTATGGCAGTGAGATCTAACAAGAGAAAGCAACTTGAATCTACTTAAAATATATACTCTATGGGAACATCTCTGACGTTTTTTTTCTGAAAACAATCTTGATACTTCTCCATTTAAGAATTGGAACTTATGTTTTATCAATCAAATCTCCATTTCAGATATGCTGAATGAAGTAAGGACGAGTTCAATGTAAACACATCACAGTAGCTTGAATTTAAGAGTGAAGCTTTTTGGATTGTAGATGATCAAGTTGGCTTCACGATTAACACAAAGACCAAACTAGACCGGCACCCATAATTTTCTTACTCAAAATGCACTACACAATTATGCTTGTCACTGTCATAACTAAACATTTTCAGTCTTGATAAAGGTCAATTCAAGTGACTAGATATTCTGCATACACAGTTGATACTTGAGTATAAAACCACTTGGTGCATCTGGCTTTTTATTTGCACATTTCAACCTACAAGTTATTGAAACATATAAAACAATGGGGTTTCGTTGGTCTCTTGCTCTGTCAATCCATTTTCTACTGCTTTATTCACTGTTTTCATTCTCAGTTACTAATTGTCGTCTTTCTGTTAATCATACAAAATGCCATGAAGATGAAAGCTACGCCTTGTTGAAATTTAAGGAAAGTTTTGTCATTAGTAAGTCTGCTTCTTATAATCCTTTCGGTTATTCTAAAATAGCTTCTTGGAATGCAACCATAGATTGCTGCTCATGGGATGGTATTCGATGTGATGAGCACACAGGTAATGTCATCAACATTGATCTTAGTAGCAGCCACATCTATGGTACAATGGATGCTAATAGCAGCCTCTTTCACCTCAAACACCTTCAAAGCCTTGATCTTTCTGATAATGACTTTAATCACTCTCGAATTCCATCAAGGATTGGTGAGCTTCGACAGTTAAGATATCTGAACCTTTCTGGAGCCAATTATTTTGGTCAAATTCCACAAGAAGTTTCACATTTGACCAAGTTGCTGTCTCTTGATCTGTGTAGTTTATTCTATTCACCGGATCCTGTCAATCTGTTGAGTTTCAACATATCCACTCTAAGAAGCTTAATTCAAAACTCATCTAATCTTGAAATTATTCGTCTTAATTATGTGTCGATTTCATCACCTGTACCTGATATATTCATAAATCTTACTTCTTTAAAACAACTCAGTCTTTACAGTTGTGAACTATATGGGGAATTTCCAATTGGAATATTTCATCTTCCAAGCTTGAGATCTCTGGATTTGGGAAATAATTATCACCTCAGTGGTAAACTTCCAAATTTTAATTCAAGTGCACAAATTACCATGTTGCAACTCACTTCCACAAGTTTCTATGGTACACTGCCTGCGTCCATTGGGAATCTTAAGTCTTTGAAATATTTACTAATTTCACAATGCAAATTTTTAGGTTTTATCCCTTCCACATTTGGGAACCTCACTGAGCTTACTTATCTAGATGTTGGATACAATAATTTCAAGGGTCATCTTTCTTCTTTATTGGTAAATCTCACCAAACTAAGCATGCTGAGAGCAGGTTTTAATGAATTTGTTACTGACACCATCTCATGGATTTGTAAGCTGCCAGGAATAACTGATTTAGAACTAGACTTTGTAAATATTGGCTTCGATAGTCCACTCTGTTCTGCAAATCTCACCCAGCTATCTGTACTATCCCTACGTTACACCAATTTAAGTGGACAATTTCCATCTTGGATAATGAACCTAACCAGCTTAGGTTACATGGATCTTTCAGGAAATAATCTTCAGGGTGAAATTCCAAACTCTCTCTTCAAACTTGAGAACCTAGAAACTCTTTGTCTGTCCAGTAACTTGTTGGAAGGAGAATTAGAGCTTAATAAGTTTCTAATGCTCAAAATGTTGTTTTTTGTTGAATTATCTTTGAACAAGTTGTCATTAATTAGTGGAAAAAATTCATTCAATGCGAGCCTTTCTCACATTCAATTGTTAGGTTTGGGTTCATGCAATTTGAAAGAGTTTCCAAAATTTCTCCAGAACTTGTCTGAGCTGTCATATCTTTACGTGTCAGACAATAATATCAATTCATTCCCCAGTTGGACCTGGGGGAAAACAAGTCTTCAGAGGTTATATGCTTCCTATAACTCATTCATAGGAAGTATATCTCCACTGATATGCAATTTGAAATCTCTTATGCATCTTGATTTATCATTCAACAACTTAAGTGGCATGGTTCCCTCGTGTTTGGGAAGTTCTATGCAATCTCTGCAGACATTGGTGCTCAAAGGAAACAAATTGTCTGGCCCCATTCCTCAAAGATATATGGTGGCAAGCAGTTTGAGAATGATAGATCTAAGCAATAACAATCTGCACGGTCAACTGCCAACAGAATTGGTAAAGTGTAGAATGTTAGAGGTTATTGATTTCAGCCATAACCAAATTAATGATTCGTTTCCATGCTGGTTGGGCACTCTTCCGGAGCTGAAAGTTGGAGCTTTAGGTCATAATCATTTGTATGGATCTATAAGGTGCCCTGCAACGTTCTCATTTCCCAAACTGCACATCATTGATCTTTCTCACAATCAGTTCTCTGGAAACTTTCCTTGGGAAACAATCCAGAATTGGAAATCCATGATGGCTTCCAACGAGAGTAGATTGCAGTATGAGCTTCATTCAAACATCACGTTGTCGGGAAGGGTCAGTTGGTGGAGTAATGGTTATAGTTATTCGCTGACAATGTTTAACAAAGGGAGTGTCTTGGTTTATCAAAATCTCCAGGAGCTTTACTACTTGATAGCCATTGATCTTTCAAGCAATAAATTCTCTGGGGAAATTCCTGTTGTTATGGGAGACTTAACTGGACTTGTTTTTCTCAACTTCTCCAACAACATGCTTAGTGGCAGCATTCCTTCTTCCTTAGGAAAGCTTTCATACCTTGAAGCATTGGACCTTTCTTTCAATAGATTATCAGGGAACATTCCCCTACAGTTGGAAGAACTGACTTATCTCTCATACTTGAATGTGTCCTTTAACAACCTCTCAGGACACATACCACAACATAATCAGTTTGCTACATTCCAAAATAGTTCATTTATGGGTAACCAAGGACTGTGCGGGAGTCCATTATCCAAGAAATGTGAGAATGATGCAGGGTCACCGTTTATTCCACATTCTACATCTGATGATGATGATGATGATGATAAAGATTCAGGATTTTTTGTTGGATTTAACTGGAAAGTGGTTCTGATTGGGTATGGTGGTGGACTTCTTGCGGGATTGGCACTGGGATGGACTTTCAGTCAAGAAGTATTTGAATGGCTTAAGACTGTTCATTTGAGTTTTTATTTTTTCTTAAAGGAAAGGTTTTGAGCTCAGTTATAATATATAGGAAAGTGGAATTTACTGTACAACTTTTTCTTTTTAGGTACTTCTGAGTGTAGACTTTATTTCCCTTCGGATGTTGTGATTTTCACACTCTCTCTTGTTAACAAGAGTGTTTTGATTGTACTTTTACTTTTGGAATTATTAGTTAATGTAATTAGGAAAGACAACGATTACAGCAAATCAGGAGACTAACACTACCTATATGTAAATAATCTGGACCATCAAGTAAAGACACAATTAGAATTTTCCTTATATTTTCTTTGAATCAACGTAATATTTTTATGTATGAATAACTGCCACTAGACCAAAAGTATCTTTGATACAGACAATCATAAAAGGTGTTACAAATACATTATAGCTATGCTTGGTGCCATGTTCAATAACCTTGTCCCATAGAGAACAATAACATGACTATTGGAGAAGATTAATCTATGAACATGTGCTTGTTTTAATATAAAGAGACATAAACCTTCGGGCTTAATTCATATGATATGAATATGAATGAAATTTTTCAGTCAAGAACGCTAATTTCTGTGAGATGCTCTTCCAGAATGGTACTGAATTTCTTCATTTGACTCTTTTCAAGTGCTAACCCAACTTCAATTCGACCTTCTTTGTCTCTACAGTCAGAAAGGGAAATTGATCCAGAATTATCGACATTAACCACTTCACTCTTCTCGGGCTTTCCCCACCCGAAGTCCGTTTCATACACTTTAAGACTTGGAAACCCTGCAATTATTGTCGTGTGCTTCCCCAACGTTGCAAATTCAGTAAAATTAGACATCAATGTTTCAGCCCCTTCAAATGTTCCTCGTTGCAAATGTCTAACCTCACTACCAATAGCAATGGCTGCCTCCAAAATACCATTTTCTCCAACAAGCTTGCTCCTCTTGACTTCAGCATTGCCACAAACCAAACAATTTCCAAAGTATTCCAACGGAATGGAAAATTCAGGACGATTACGACAATCTGCCATAAAGGCCAAGATGTAGGACTCATCATTATTGAAAAGTACAGTACCAACTTTAATCTCTTCTGATTTCACCTTACAAAACCAAATCAAAGAACATGTCACCACAAAGGTTGTTATGTGTGGCAGTTCTAGATCATGGCTTTTGCATTTAATGGAGACCCATTTCTTGAGTTTCTCAACATGATCATGACTCAAGACAAACGTGTGACGCACCATGTCAGTAGGAACATCACGTATTTCGCCCTTGGACTCTACATTCTCTGGTAAAAAGTTCAACAGTTCCTGCAAGAAAATGTGCTTAAGACCTTTCGGGTCTTGAATGATATCCCTATTGTGCAATGGTATAGCAAGGGAAGCCAAAGTCAAGTCTCCATTGGACTTACAAACAGAGGCCCAGAATTTCATGAAGTGATGAAAAGATTTTCCATCAGCAGCCACGTGTCTGAAAGTGATGCATATGGCGAAGGCAGAATGGGGCATAACAGTGACCTGAATGGACATGAGAGGGATAAAAAAGGTGCCATCTTCTAAGGTTTGTGGTGGGGGCAAGACAGGAACAAAAGGGTGCAAAGCTGTGACATCTTTAGGGGAATCAGAGACAAAGGTGTTGAAATCTGCTGAGGACTCAGCTACTGTGAAGGAGAGAGAATTAGATTGTGTGTAGAGGATGTGAGGTGGGTTTGGCTTTGGAGGGAAGAGAAGGTTGGAAGAGAAAGGGAAGAAGTGTTGGAGAGTGAGGGAAAGAGAGTTCTTGAGAGTTGGAAGGAGAGTTTGGAGGAAGTGTTGGGTGGAATAAGGGAAGTTAAAGAAGAAGATACGTTTGAGAGGTGGACAACATAGCCATGGAAGATCGAAGAAAGTAAGAGGGATAGAGGTTGAAGGAACAGAACCTGGTGGAGGACGAACTTCACACTGTTCTATCACCTTCACTGTGTCAGCCATGGATTACAGGGTTGAACTTCGATTTGAATGTGTGAATTCACAGATAGACAAGAACAAAGATAAGAATGACAGACACTGTCCAATGAAACAAACAGGTTGAGTAATCCAATTTACAATTGAATCTTAATTCGCTAACTCAGTTTCTGACAGCTGATGTCAACTATTGTTTTTTAATTAGCATTAAATGAAATAAATTATTAACCAATTGTCTTAATTTAATTTTTTTAAATAATGAATAAAATAAATGTAAGAAATCATAATACTTCTTCCTTTGTTCCTCATGCTAAGGTATTGTTTTGAATTTTTCTAGTCTTTTTTTTTTATGAAATTCTTCTTTTATTGTCTTCTATATTGATAATTTTTTTATTAAAAGACTAGTTACTTTCTTGATTCATAAATAATAAATATTATAAATTATTTTTTCTCTTACAAAAACTTCAGAAATAAAATATTTAATTTTAAGAATTAATACTGTACTAGTATTATTTTTTTTTTCATACTTACCTACTTAGAGAATTTTTTAAAACAAAATAAAAATTGAATATTATTAACTAATTAACCAACTTTATTAAAAGTGTGAATTAGTCATCAATTTTACACATTTCCGACTAAAAAGAGTATATGTCGATTATAATAATTGTTGCTTATTATATTATTTTAACATTACAATATATAAACTAATAATAACAAAAATTTCAAAAACTAGTTCTTGAAAGGGCGAGTCTTGATTTGTTTTTACATTCTATCTTCTTAACCACTATTCATAATTTTATATTATTTAGTTCTCTTTTTCTAATGCATGGTATTACTTATCATAATTATAGACGTCAAACACCAATTTTTCGGATAAAGAATACAAACATTATTTAAGATCTTTTCATTAACTAGTACCCTAGTACTATAATTATAAATTTTATTTTATATCAAATTTATAATTGAGAATAAATACATACATATATATATATAATATTTTTTAATTTAAATTATTAATAAATAAATATTTTACAGACATAAATTATATTATGAAAAAATATTCAACAATTTATACTATTAACAATTTCTGTGAAATATTAAAGTTTAATTTAAAAACGAAAAGAAAAGCTATGAATTAAAATGGATAAAAGTTAGTAATCATTTAAAAAAAATGCTCTAGAATAATAAAAAAAAAACTATTCAATATAGCTATTTAATTTATGTATGAAGAAGATTTATCATAAACTGAAACAAATGACAAATAGAAAGACTGGTGACACAGAATTTATTTTTCTTCAGAGATGGAGGTTTGTTTCAAATAAACATATTGAAAGATGGTTCAATAAGATTTAATAGTTCAAATTTATTTCACATTTCTTTACAATACATCTAATTGCAATCTATTTCCTTCCCTTCCATAATACAGTACCCAAGCCAATACTGTAAAAAATACCCCAAATCCAATATAACTAATAAAAAGAATGATACAATTCATTGTCTACTGGGAATTTTTCTATATTTATAGCCAGCAGGTGTTTGATGAGTAATCGTTAGCATAGGTTTACTGCAAAAGTTTAACTCTCGAGTCAGACTGATAAATGTTGAGCAGTCACTCCAATGCTGAAGAAGTAGCCGTGCAGGGTTATTAAGCTATTGTGTGCTTAGCCAACATCATCATCCTAATCTTGGTTAATCAATCAGTAAAATACAAGCTTTCAGATAAACTGCATCTATTCATCTTTTGCGCATACGCGTTCTGCACAAAGAAAAAGTTGAAATGCTTTTAGGTTAGCTATATATGGATACGGAAAACAAATACAATGATAAATGAGGATTCATAGTTTAGCATATTTGTTCCAAACTCGATAACCAATAACTTCACAATAGATGCTGCAGCAACAGAAAAAAAAGTAACCTATTCAATAAATATGCAAATAAGATAAGCATGAGAAAGGAAATCAAAAGAAAAATGCATGCAATCGGAAGATCAAATTAGTTTGTTGACATAGATTGTGTAGTGTCACAGCTAAACAATTTGTGAACTATTTTCTATAAGGCCAACAGGGATGACATGTTGAAGAGCTTTCACAGTGAACTTCGGGGAATATTCTAACAAACAGAACTATGTAAAGTATGATTTCCCTTTGTTAGAGAAACCTATAACAGATTGCTTCTTGTCAAGAACATGTAAACAGATCATTTATAAAAGCCAAAGTAGTTATTAATTGGCATATGTAATATGAAACGTGATGACCAAACCTTTGGCTACATTAAAGGAATACTAAAAAAGGATCTATACCGGAAAGTGTTTATCACAAAGAATACAGTTCAATAAAAAGAGCAAAGGAAATATCTAAATAAACATTAGGTGAAACATTAAAAGAACTTTTTTAACTATATTACTTTAATAAAAGTTAGGTTTTTTAGGAGAACTCAATGATGTAAACTTATCCACACGGGTGACCACCTGGTAGGCTAAAGTTTGGTTGTTCTATGATATATGGGCATTTTGATAGAAAGGGAATGCATGTGACTCTAAATATGTCTCTCTTTCTTCCCTGCCAATGTTCTTAGATAGGATTGTGTTAATGTCCTCTCTTTTGTTATTTGTTTATGTTATTCAAAACGAAGGAATTCCTGTTGCTGATATGAAAAAATATTGGACAGCTTTGCAGTATGATGCAGGTTTTAGCTACTCTAGCCCACTGTTTTCTTTTCTATTTTCTTCAATTAAGGGGGGATTTCTTATGCTCCCTCCAAATTTACTTCCTCAAATATATTGTTCTTCCACAATTTGAAGAATAAAGAACATTCTACTGTAACTAAATTTTATCCTTTCTACAGTAACTGCTTTTAGGTTCAGTTTCGTTTCAGTTGCTTTCTCAAGTGCAACATTGGAAGTAAAAGAACGGTGGGAGGGGGTCTAAATATAAGAACTAGGACGATGACATTAGATGTCATTAATTAAATTCATTATACCAAAACCTAAGTTGAAAAATTATTCCAATATTTGCTTGAACTAAACCAGAAAACACAAACAGATAATACACATAAAAAATAAGTACACATACACATAAATAAAATGTAATAACCAGAGAGGAAGAGTTTCTTACTCAGATACTCATAAGTCAATATCATTGAAGTGCCCCACGCTGACATGCTAAAGAATCTTGGGCCAAACCCTCTATAAAAGCCTTTCCAACCATCTTCGTTGATTAAATCTTTAGCAACTTGTTTTATAGAGGTTTTGTTTTCATGACCCATTACCTGGAGTGCAGAACTAGCCACTCAGAAAAATTTAAATAGGTGGTAATTGGAATAAAAAGTATTTTTGTAAGTTAAATGAAAACACTATGTTCATTTCATTCTTTTATTCTCCTTTTAGTCTTCTTTGGAGAATGAGGGTGCAATCTACCATTCACCAGAATAGTTCAATGAACTAATTCTGTGTATACTCTGAAGCAATAAGTATATTATTATCTCTCTTCATCTTTACAATCTAAAGAGAAGATGCTATGCACATAAAGAGAAGATGATGAGAGCCAAGAAAAGATTGATGAGCAGAACTATACAACAAGAGAAAAACCTGCTCTGGAGGATGGTAGTGATCAGTGATCACAGAAAACAATGAACTAAAAAACAGAAATAATCCGGTTCAATGAAATTACGCAAACCTGTAATCGTGTCTTGATAGTATCCAATGGGGTTGTTATGCAGGATGAAGATGCACCAGCAATAATCCCTCCCATAGCCTGAACCAACATTATTTTCTGCAGACTAGGAGTGTGTTCATCATATTTGGTATCATGACCCAGGAACCTGTTCATGCAACCAGGTGCTAACTGTTCTTAATATAGAAAGTTTTCCTGATAACAGAAATGAAAATAATATAGCAAGCACGTGTACTAAAAGTGCATTACCATATTATTTACAAAAGTCACCACGATAAACAATAGTGAATCAGAAGTCTACAGCAGAGACTGCTATTCTTTTGGCAGGGTTTCTCAGCCAAGAAGAAAATCTACCTTTCCTGACTTAATATAATTTTGCTGTCAGCCTGCAGAATGGCAGATGCAATTACAGCATCATACACTTCAATTGGTGTAATTCCATGATTACAAACTGAATGTTACGTTATCTGACCAAGCTCACATTGGACTTGAAAATATTTATCAGATTTCAATAGTACACAGTGACCGCGCTTTTTTCCATTTCCACATGTCCTAGGAACACAATAGGCTTCCATAATGGAAGACATACCTATAAGCTATGTTTGAAACTCGTGCATAGAGATAATAAATTTTCTTATCATTTGTCAATTGATACAATATAAAAATAACTTCAAAGGTAATGCAACAAAGATTCAGTTCTAAGACATATTATCATATCTTACCTCCAAATGACCCGTTGGCTTGAACCATAACTTGCCCACCATACTGCACTAGAAGGTGAATAAGTCATAACAGACAGACCAAACCCTCTATACAATCCCCGTATGCCATCAGATCTTAAAACCTTGCGAGCAACATCCAAACCCCCGCTGTACTGGGCATGGCCTGAGTATCCTTGCACCATCAACTTTTGGCTAACCTTAATATCATTCAATGTGAATTAGATATTAGAATTATCCAATGATGTAAAAGAAGAAAAAATCATCAAGAAAAGAAATGAGACCAAATTAATAAAATAAGGAACTTCTTTACCACAAAAGAAAGGCAAAAAATAAAAAATAGTTTTCTGTATGTTTCAGAGAATCAGCCATCAGAATGCTTTAAAAGAAGCACCAGTAGAAAACCATCACAGACAAAATATATTTATAGCACAAATAAACTAAAAAGTTTTCGATTTATAAGATGTCACATCATTATACAATGGAATACACCATAGGTAGGAAGACTAACACATCACTGCAAAACATAGCTTTCCATACTTCATTCAAAAAAAAATCTGAGCTTTAAAGAACAAATTTTGCATTTTGTGTCCTACGCTGTGAATTCAATAATATTACTTTCAAAATCTTAAACAAAAATGAGAACAAGAAACACTTATTTTGAATTGATTCAATTGAATCAGACATGATAGAAAATTAGTAAACTAAAGAGTTCCCAACTTGCCAAAATGTGTAATGGATTGTTGAGCTGCCGAAAGAGCATGTCTAATAGCAGAAAAGATGCATTTGAATGTATCATCATCATGTGCATATTATACATATAGAATGGCTGAGTTAGTCCAAAACAAAGTATTTTGAGTTCAACGATATAAACACACAGTAAATCTCAAGGTTACGCAAATTGGATTATCATACCACATCAATTGGTACAAACACAGATTGAGCAAAAATCGATGATGTCATGCCTGCAACTCCATTTGCAATGGCAGCTTGGGTAGTTTCAGATAGTCGAAACGGTTCAAGCATTCTGAAAGCAGCCACCTTTGTGGTCTCTAGAGTGGAGAGGAAAATTATTCTGGCAGGAATAGCACCAGTGATAACTGTGCCAAACCCTCTATACAGACCAGGGACGCCATCTGTTTTAAGTAGTCCTTTTACAACAGAAAACACACTTCTCTCTACGGCATCTTTTGTGGCAACCTGCAGCCTAGTTTTCACAACCGAAATGGGGTAAAGTGCCACCGAGACACCTGTAAAGAGTCCAGCTCCTACGACATAGAACCTAGTTTTATCTAGCCTGTAGAATTGGGAGAAATTCATTAGGATAAGCTTGTAGATGCAAATTTCATACCATGACCTCAAAAATGTCAAAAAACATCTGCAAGATATGTTCTTGATAAATCAAAGCAAGGGCAAGAAAGAAGATGGCACAATCTGTAAGGTACATTTTTAACTTTTCAAATATGGAACTTCAAAAAAAAAATTTCCTTTTCCTTTGATAAAAATTAGCTTACCCTTTTATAATTTTCACTCGATTCAGAGAATACAAACACAGCAGAAATCATAACTCCCCCACCCCCAAAATAATTAGTCCAAAGGAAGAAACTTTAGCGACCATGGTCTATCAATTTATAATTTCCGAATGATGGGTATGTCGAAACACAGAAAACAAGAACAAAAATAATAAAACAACAGCATCATTCAGAATATGAAAAAGGAGAAAAAGAAGAAGAACCAGTACTTGTCCCAGTTAATCTCGGTCTGACCGAAGGACTGGGCCATTGGAAGAATGCAAAAATCTCTCTCAGAATAGAATCTAAGAACACGATCCGAGGCAGGCTTCTTTGCCTTGTAAAATTGTAAATTGTAATTCAAAGAAAACTATATTTGCAAATAAGGGAAATGATTTGTTGAAAATTTGGTGAAAAGGCTGCGGCGTACGCGGGGTTGTGTCTATGTTGTGGGAGAAGCACGCGTCCCAATTTCATTTCCTCCATTTTTATTTTACTTTGACCATTCTCTATTTTCTTCCTCTGAACGCCAAAATGGAATAATTTAATTTAATGTATAACCACAGACAACTTATCTAAGGTAACTGAATCTTTGTGTAGAGGAAGAAGATTTCATTCAAATTATTTTTTACTAAATACTTTTGTAAAAGAATTTACAATATTCTGTATACAAATTAAACTTTATTCGTTTTTTTAACTTTATTTACTCAAATAAACTATTGAAATGTTATTTTCATTCTCATATTATTTGTCCTTTAAAACAATATAAATTTGTTAATGAACTACGTAAATTATAATAAAAATAATATTTATTGCAATATACTCGAAGTGGGGATTAAATTTCAAAACTAATCAATGACTTCAACTAATCAATTGCATCGTGACATCATTACCCTAACCACGATGTAGAACAACGGTGGATTCTTATTGGACATTTGAATAAAAAATTTGAGGAAAAATACAAAAATTAAAAATATATATATATATATATATATATATATATATATATATATATATATATATATATATATATATATATATCGGAAACGTAGCTAGGGTGCATTGGTCATTATGGGATTTATCAACTGTTCCAACTATTAATTTGATAAAAAATACTATATTAAATAAAATATTTAATAAAAAAAATTTGTTTAAAATGAATTTTTAATTAAAAAATAACATATATAATTTTAAATATAATATTATAATAGACTATGGTTTTATATAATTTACTACAAATTTATTATATTAAAAATTAAATTTTAAATTTGTATGAATTTATAAATATTAAAATATTAATTTAGAGTTTAATATTCATAAAATTTAAAATCTTAACCTTGTATCTGTATTCGATAACAATTATTTATTTTATTTTATTTTATTTATTAAATATTACTTATTTATCCAATCGAATATCTTGTACTTCAATTTATTTTGAAATTCTTTTATAGATTTTTTTTTCACCCGGCCATGTTTCAAGTAACATTTGCAGATTTAAAATTTAAGCTTTACATTGATGGAGGTTTAGAACCATGATAGCAAAGAGGATGAAATTAAAAAAAATAAAACACATCAAAACTTATAAAATAAATTGTTTCTAAATTAATATTTTTAAAAGATACAAAATAAAAATAATAATCACCAATTTTACATTTCAGTTTAAATTTAAAGAATTCATGGTAAAAAATTGAAATTTACGTCAATTAATTGTTTCCAAAGTTCTTATTATTATATTTTAAAAATAGAAAATGAATAAATTATGCTATTTATTAATTACTTTTAGGAAAACAGTAACAAACAGTGATTGAGAGATAATTAAATTCAAATAGTTGAAAAACTAAAAGAAGATAAATGTTATTTTTTGATAAAGACTAGTACTCTAAAGAAAATTGTGGCATGCAATTTCTAAAATTTAGATATTACTCCTTTATTATTTGTATTCTTGAAAGTAGAAATATGTTATAATCTTATAAAAAGAAAAGTATACAAGTAATCTTCAATTTCTAAAACAATATCTAGCAAATATTAATAAGGTCATTTTACAAACTACTCTTAATTATAAATTTTATATAAAATAACTTACTGTAAAAGGTAAAAGTCAGAAATAAATATGCCATAGTCTAGTATTTTATATAAAAAATTACTATTTATATAATAAAAACTATAGAAATGAATATTTTACTATAAATAAAAATAATATTATTTATATTCTTGAATTTTTAAATAAAAACACTTATACTACTAGAGAAAAAAGTACTTTATGGATCCATATTGTTTTAAAAATTTCAAAAATTATATATGTGTAAGTTTCTTTCCACTACGTTTTAGGTTTTTTTTTCTACTCTTTATTTTTTATTTTGTTATATATATTTCTTTAATTGAATTACTATTCATTATTATAATTTTTTTACTGACACTTTAAAATATTATTGAAAAAATAGGAATAGATTTTTGTAGGTAGAAGAATTTATTATATTATATTGTTATAAGATGACTTATTAAAGGAGTTAACTAATTTAACTATATTTCTGGACTAATATTAATATATATATATATATATATATATATATATTAAAATTTAAACTAAAAAATTCAGGGCCCAATCTTTCGAGGAGCTCCGTTTCTGCATTTATAAGCTCTATCTTCGAGGAAAGTTACTCTGCAGATTTTGTTGACTTTTATATAATGTGTACGAATTTTAAAACGAGCTTGAGTTTCTTCTACTAAAAATAAGAAAATTTAAAAAATAAAAATTCAAAAAATTATCTTTAAATTTTAGATTTAGATGGGAGGTAGTTTATTAATAATGAATCTTCCCTAAGTAATGGATAACACTAAGCACTTTGTATTTCAATATATATAGACGCCAGCTTCTGCATCCTCTTATTATGCAATGATGTGTTTCTACCAAAGTTAGTCTTCAAAAGTTTGTTGACTTCGAGGTCAGCGCTTGATCTGCTTCTGGTGCAAAGGTGTTGCTAAAAAAATGGCCTTCTCTCTGCTACCAAAATTAACTCCTTGCATTTTTTTCTTGGTTCTGTTATCTTCAACTTGCTTCACTTCAACAGGTTCACCCCATTGCCATTGTTTTCTTTCTTCCTCGTCTATTTCTTCAAATTGTAATTGCTTCCGTGTTTTTTGTATAATGGGTTGTTCAGATTTCCTTAAATGGACAACCTTTATAATGTGGTATTCTTTAATGCTGTATGGACCTTACGTTTTGTGGATTTTGATGTACATATTTATGCCTGAGAAAGATGCTACATTTCAACTTGATAAGTTAAACGTGGAAACTTTGTATCATTTATTAACTTCTGGCAGCTAATCTAGTTGCTACCAAGTATATTTAGTTTGAAGTGAGTCGTTTAACTTGATTTGATTCTATGAAGATCTAGATATGGAACAAAAAAGTTATATAAGCTTGTGTTCTGATTATGTTGTTATAAGAATTGTTGCTTTTGCATTTGAGTTTTCTTTGAGCCATCTGAGAAGTAAATTTATGATTTGCTTTATTGTTTTCCCCTTTGGCGTTTGAAATATGTTTCAAGTTGAAGCTTACACGAGATTTGTCCCAAGAACTCCTGCAACTGGGAAAACTGCCCGTGAGTTGGTGGTCACCAGTAGAGATTTTTTTTTTTTGCTGTAAATGGAATAATTCGTCATGAATCATTCTATAAGAAATAAATATGCAAAGATGAAGAACTATAACTTCACCCATAAAAAATATATGTACTTGTGCTTACTTCTTGCCTTTGTTTTAATGACTACATAAGCAAGTATAGCAATAGCCCGTAGAGTAAATTATTGGAATTTTTAGAGGTTCAACATTTACTTTGCTTACTTTCTTTTCCTTTTAATCACTTTCCACATGATGTTAGTTGTTTATCTTTCAGATGCTTATGATCCGCTTGACCCAAATGGGAATATCACAATCAAATGGGATGTTATGTCCTGGACCCCTGATGGATATGTCGTAAGTACATTCTCTTACAATATCACCCATTAATGTGAGAACATATGTTGAACATTCTGCATGATGCTGAAATGTCTTTTTTGCTTTTCTTTCCACTGGTTTGGTTCCATCTTTTGTAATTAATTTGCTTTGGCTGAATTTTGTCCGATGAGTCACTCGAAATTCTAAGAAAGAATTGAATGTACAGGCTGTTGTTACAATGAACAACTTCCAAAGATATCGTCATATTACTTTACCTGGCTGGTATCTAAGGTGGACATGGGCAAAAAAAGAGGTAATATGGACCATGATGGGAGGGCAGACCACTGAACAAGGAGATTGTTCAAAATTTAAGGGAGGTGTTCCACATTCTTGTATGAAAAATCCAACAGTTGTAGATTTGCTTCCTGGAACACCTTACAATCAACAAATTGCAAATTGTTGCAAAGGTGGGGTGCTTAGTTCATGGGTGCAGGATCCAAGCAGAGCAGCAGCATCTTTTCAACTTAGTGTTGGTAGAGCTGGAACCACAAACAGAACTGTTAAACTCCCAACAAACTTCACCTTGGAAGCACCTGGACCACGTTATACTTGTGGACAAGCTAAGATTGTCAGACCCACTAAATTCATTACTCCAGACAAAAGGAGAGTGACCCAAGCACTGAGTAAGTTTTAGGATTTTTAATCTCATTTTCACATTTGTGCAGTCAGTATGATCATCTATTTTCATCCTTTATCAGCCTCATTTTCTGTTGTTAGCAACTAGTAATTAAGGATTCAGAGTTAATTCTTATTCTCCCTATAGATGTGGGTTTGATTCTTCTTAAAACTCTTTAGTCTTAGTGAGCAAATTTCTCCAGGAAGATCTCCTTGTTTCAAGGGACTAGTTGACCAATTGTGATTGAGTAAACTGCTTGTGATTTAAGTTTGTGAAGTAGTCCTTTGGTCGGCCATTATTGGTAGCACCAAACATGTCTGCGTTTGAAAACCTAATGATTTAAGTGTTGTGTTAAGGTGGTCATTAGCTTGTGGTTTTTAGTAAAGATATGTTTCAAGTGTTTCTCCTCCTAGGATTCCCAAGATACTACTTCTCTTTACCAATCTCATACTCTTGATAATTAACCACATCTAGGACACAAGTAGCTAATTCTCTGATTCAATTTAAAACCAATTGAAGCTTACAGTTGTTATAAAGAACTGTCAGCAAATTGCTACAAGTTATTGTATCCTTAATATCATTATTATTTATTGCAGTGACATGGCAGGTGGTATGCAGATACTCACAATTTCTAACTCATAAAACTCCCACTTGCTGCCTCTCACTTTCATCTTTCCATAATAATACTATTGTGCCTTGTCCAACATGTTCATGTGGCTGCCGAAGTAACTCATCTCAGTCAGGGAAATGTGTAAAGTAGGTTTCCAATCTCCATTGTGCAGTGTCGTGATTCATGGATACCAAGTTGTAGTAAAGTCATTTTTTCTTCTGTGGTTACAGTCCAGGTACACCACATTTGGCCTCATTTGTATCTGGCTTCGGGAAGAACGAATTTTCACCTACGGTTCAATGTACC